GATTCCTGCCACAACTTGAAACCAGAGTAGCCCAATACCCACAGATAGATCTATGTTAGGACATGTATGCCAGCGTCATGTTTACATGCACACCATGAACAGATCAATACTGTGGCATTTTTACTTCTCATCATGAGTAACTCTAATGTCATAATTAATAGGTCTTATGTTGGTTCTTCTTACCCCGAGACATTGTGGCTCTCCTCTGATGAATCGATGAAAAGGCTTCTGTCCAATAACTGCCCTAATCGCCTCTATCCCCCCATTCTTTCCTTCCATCCCTCTCTCCATCCCTCCCTCCATCCGTCGTCATGGGAATGTCCATTCTCAAAGGTGCTGGTCTTGAGTTCATTTGGCTGTGACTGAGAGGAGGGATAAAAAGATCACATTATAGTGCCCTTATTACAGTCTAATTATAGCTGTAAGTTCAGTGTAACAAGTACTGTAATTACTCGTCGTTACCCTGTACGTACCCTGCATTGTTACCCTGTACGTACCCTGCATTGTTACCCTGTACATACTTCTGTAAGTACAGGGCAACAATGAGTAATTAAAATACTTGTTACACTGAATTTACAGGAATAATTATGGAGACAGCAGGTAATAATAATAATAAATATAATAAAAATAATACTCTTACTATTATTACCGCTACAGTAAGTCTGACCAACTGATGACATACAGCTGCTGTGCAGTTCATCATCCACAGGGAATCATTTTGGCAGGCTTGTTTTGAGACTCACTTATGAAAACGGGAAGAAGGGAGCACTGAGAAAAAGAGAGTGAAAAACTCAACCAAATGTCACTAAGGTTCAGAACTGAAGTGATTAGTTTGAGGTGTAACTGAACTGAAGCAGTTCCGATAGTCTCTACTAGCAACAGGACTGGACTGCATCTAGGAGTCAAAACAAGCGAGAGAGAGAGAGAGAGAGAGAGAGAGAGAGAGAGAGAGAGAGAGAGAGAGAGAGAGAGAGAGAGAGAGAGAGAGAGAGAGAGAGAGAGAAGTCCAGGAGAAAACACCTCGGATATAGAAATAAAATAAAAAAGAAGTCTCTCTTTCTCTTAGTGAAATAACTCAGCTTCACTTTCTGTAATAATCACCCCATCTACACAAAGTGTGAAAGAGAGAGAACAGCAGGTTTGAGACCACATGAGGTTTGTATGATGCATAGGAGCTCTGTTTTCAGTTCAATTTTCATTATTACATCAATTTAATTTAAACAATTTGTCAATAAAATAAAGACAGAAGAGTGTTGATTTGAATGTTTATTGTATTTTACATAACACAGGAAATGTGAATTGATTATATTTTAATCAAAACAGTTGCTGAATCATAACACTTGATCTTGAGCACAATATTGGTTCTCTTTTTATTGATTCAAAACTTTAAGGAAAATACATTTCCACATCAGCCATTGTTTATTGTCAACAGAAAAATCACTTTAAATCTGTGTTAATCTCTTGTGGACAGATTCTCGTAACAGGAAATGACAAACTTTTGCGAGACAATTCTACTTCTGGGTAACCGAAATTAAACATGTGTTAATAATAAGGCTTTGTTCTCCATTGCTCTCATGCAGTGAAATGATTTATGATACATATATTTGTAAAACATTGTGTAAATGTAAACATTGTATCAGGGGTTTAAACCAGTTCAGGGAACAGAACCGAAAACCGGAAAATAACTTTTTCAATGCTAGTTAAGAATACTATAGGCCTATTTATCACGTTTCACGTTGGATTTCTTAACTCCAAAAAGGTAAGACATATTTATAATTCTGGTGCTGCTCTGCACACACAAGCGTATTAGCTAGCTAGCTCAAAGGACATTCAAAGTTCCTCCATAGAAGCCGCTCCTCCTAGGTATAATTATGTGGACCTAATTCAGATAATGCATGTCATAACAAGATGCCCCAACGCTTCAAGACTCCTCCTCAAACCTCTCTCGCTCTCTCCCCACCCGCAAAATTTCAGTCGCATTTTGCGCCGTAAACTACACTTGTCTGTCCATCACGCATGTAAACAACTAGCTTGACTGCTCTATCCGCACTGATTGGTGAAGTAATTTTATGAGCTAAATGTAAAAAATGGTTGATTTCACAGGTTAAAAAAGGAACAGAAAGGAATGATATAAACCGGTACTTTTTTTTGGTTCGAACCGGTTCAGAACATTATTTTGCTGGTCGGAACAGTGGAAGGAAATGAAATAAATTGTGGTTCTGTTCAGAACAAAACGATTGGAAATTAATTTAGGTTCCAACCCCTGCTCAACACCAACATTTTTTTTGCAGCTTTGAAATTGGCCACTAGTGGGAACTTACACATTGTCAATAACTTAATAATAAAATATCTGATTGCCTTAGAACAAAAAAATGTATGGACATAACAACCAGATGATTTAGTCGACTCACTAAACAGCAGGAAATGTTAGTTTTTTTGTTTTTTATTTGAATCCAAAGATGGAAGTTTGCTTAGTAGGTACTTGGGCTTAGTAGGTTCGCTTACCCTAATTATCCTAACCTGCTGCATAAATTATCCTAACCTGAAACGAAAAGTCAATTCTAACATAAATTGTATCCCATCTAGACAACCCTAGAATGGTCCCACCTGATCTCGCTTCCTCCCGCCTGGCTTCCATCTTTGAGGACATGTATTTCCATTGTTCGAGCGGTCACTCGACTATCTTGTCAATATAATATAAAGTCATTCTCCCCTGCAGCTTAGCTACTGAAGTCCTGATCAGGATTCGAGGTCTGTCAATGAGGAACTACAGGCTCATCTTTTGCCATAACCTGAAGCTGCCATAGATGACCATTCGATTCACTGCTAGTGAGTAGTGCTGAAGATAAGGTGAACTACTGGGTGTTTTAAGTGCTTAACAGTGAGTACTACAATAACAACACATAGCATCTGGCCATTTAGAACAAATGGCAAGCCACAACACACTGCTGTGGTTGAATAGAGGCTGCAGTCAGTCATTGATGTGTGAATGGGTCAGATCTGGATTTGTTTTCACAGCCTAATATGCCCCATGCTGACCTGCAGTAGAGTCCATCTTTAAGGAGGTCGTTGGCCTGGGTAGTGTGTGTTTGTTTAATAGTGCACAGATCATTGAAACCCGTCACTGTCATTGAAATATTATTTGGTTTTAATGATGTAATCTTGATAGGTTATTTTATTCTTGATTTTTCCTCTCCCACCTCCTTTTCGAGTAAAAGTCAGAAGTGTCTGCTACTACATTTTCCCAAATGTTACCTCAGAAATACATAAACAAACAATCAGAAACAGAAGACATGGGAAATCACCAACCTTTTGACCACTGTAACCCTTGTCTGGGGGGTTGTGAGGGATGGCCAGGATACGTATGGCATCTCAGTTTCACCCAGCTTACTGGGTCAGTCTGACACCAGACCCCAAATGCCACACCACAGACACTAACTGCCAAGGTGAGGTCTTGTTCCAGGGTCAACAGGTTTGCAATGGTGAAACTGCCTCAAATGATTTCCCATAAACAAAATAACGCACTTCGTTTCATGGGCTAAGCTGCCTCAAGGGAAACATTGGTGTGAATATGTGGTGTAATTAAATCCCCATTTCCAAACACTTTTAGTTAGTGAGTTATTTTTGGGGAAACAACCTTTTACCTCAACCTTTTAAATTAAGACATGAACTTTCACATGTATGGGAGTCAGCATTCCTAAATTCACATTTTCCCAAAAGTTCAAACGCACCGACCCCGCAGACATCTCTGGGCCAAAGAGTTAAATGGAGTTAAATGGTTCCGCGATCGCAACCCCTGTCCACCTGTTCCAGCTATTCCACTGCTCTCCTCAAACCCCCTTCCTCAAAATCTGCCGTCTTCCTCTGCTCTTCCTTCATATAAGTATTTAGCTAATGACACTCTGACCTACTGCATGTGTAATATAACTCCCCTCTCCCACCCGTTCCAACCCTGCACTGCTATGTGTTCACAGTGTGCAGGTTATTAATCAACTGCTGTGTTCACAGTGTGCAGGTTATTAATCAGCTGCTATGTGTTCACAGTGTGCAGGCTATTAATCAACTACTATGTGTTCAGTGTGCAGGTTATTAATCAACTGCTATGTGTTCACAGTGTGCATGTTATTAATCAACTGCTGTGTTCACAGTGTGCATGTTATTAATATTATATATTATATTATTATTATTATATTATATTAATCAACTGCTATGTGTTCACAGTGTGCATGTTATTAATCAACTGCTATGTGTTCAGTGTGCATGTTATTAATCAACTGCTATGTGTTCACAGTGTGCAGGCTTTTAATCAACTGCTATGTGGTCACAGTGTGCAGCCTACTACATTATGATGTAGTAAGGTAGACTGCTGATTCCACAAGTAACAGGGTTGGGGTCAATTTGAATTGAAGGCTGTCAATTCAGGAAGTAAACTGAAATTCCAATTCATTAATTGGACAAAGGGCCTCTATTTGTTTTATGACTTGTCAATAAACTGAAAAGTAGATGCTTTTCCAAAAGTTTTTCCATATTTGAATGTTAAATTCAAATCACTTCCTGAACCCTGGTAGATAGATAGACACCCATTTCCTATTCTACCCAATCACTGATGAAGATACCTTTTCAAAACTTGTATTTTATTCCTGAGATGGTCCCCAAAATATAAGTGCTATAAATGGAAAGGTTCTGCTACCTGAATGAATAGTCCCTGAAATTGCAATTTTGAGATAACATATAATGTTTTGATAGTAGAGGAGTGTTTTTTCATCCTGTGATGTACCTTTTAAGCTAACTAAACTAACCCCTGCACACAGCACACCTGTGCTAAACATGGGTTCTATTCAGAAGGGTCCAATGTTATGAACAAACATTCAGGCAGGATTATAATAGATATAATTCTGCAGAGTAAGGAATCGTTTCAGCTCTTTGTATTATTTTGATCTGTGATTAAAATGTAAATGTGTCACCCTCCTGAACAAACCCTGCTTCTGAGTTCCTGTCTAGTTGAAATGGGACAGGAAGTACCCCAGGTCGTAGCGTGGAGGACAGTGCAGGCCCAGCCCTTGGCAGAGGGCGAGGAGGCGCTGGCGAGCGTTGGCGGCATTGTGGGCGTCTCTCACCCCAACATTACAGAAGGGCTCCTCGTACTCCCCAGAGATCAGTTCATCCTCCTCCGCCAGCTCGTTCAGCCACAACGCCCCCTCCTTGTGGAGCCCTCTCAGGCGCTCAGGGCTGGCTGTGGTCCTCAGGGCCTGGAGGTGCCGTGACACCACCACCATCACCCCAGCAAAGTGGCCTCTGGCTGGGAGGGCTGTGGCCGAGGGCAGGCAGGGACGCACCCCACAGGACACCATGAAGGCAGCCATCAGGAGGTCCACGCCGTATAGCTGGCGGATCCAGTCACACAGGTAGAAGCCGCCCATGCGGGCGTTGATCTCGATGAGCCTCGGGCCCACTTCTGTCATCTTCAGCTCCACGTTGAACACGCCGTCTCGCAGGCCACAGCCCAGGCATGCGTGGTGCGCCGCGCGGATCAGCTGAGCACGCTTGTCCGGCGCAAGCCCTGATGGCATCTGGGCGGCCGTCTCAGTGAAGGCCGGTGTGCGCGTGGGGCCGTTGTCGGATACGAAGGCGCCCTCCAGTCTTCCCTCGAACAGGACCACGTCCACGTCGTGCTCGGTGCCTCCCACGTACTCCATGAGGATCATGGCGTTGCCCCAGCCCAGGCCGATGCCGGGGTAGTCTGTCTCCTCCCGGAGGTCCCCTCCGATCCTCTCAAAGTGTGCCAGACTTTCCTCCAGAGAGCCCACCTTCCTCACGCCCACCGCCCCCGCGCCATACTCCAGCTTCATCACCGCTGGGAACCTCACCACCCCCACACTGGCTGCCTTCTCCAGATCTAGGGTGCTCTCCACGTGGATACAGGGAACAGCATAGGAGGAAGGGGAAGGAGAGAGGAGAGGAGCGGAGGGACGGAAAGTGCCAAAGGAATGTGAGGAGGAAGAGGAGGGTGAGGTGGATGAAGAGGTAGAGGCGGTAGTGTCGGGTTTGCCCATTGCCTCATTGAAGAGATCCCCCCTGTCAAAATCGGCCATAGCTCTCATGCTATCTCCTTCCATGTTGACCATGCCGTTGACCATGCCGTTCTGCTGTCTACCTCTCCTCTCATCTTCTCTAAACTCAACCAGGCTATCCGGCTGACCGGAGGGCTGCTCAACACTGATCAGGTTAGTCCCAGTAGATTTCAGTAGGCCCAGGAGGTGCCTGTGGGTGCGGCTCTTCTCCTTTGCGATGCGGATGGCCTCGGGGGGAGGGCCCCTGAGCCTCAGCCTATCACAGACCAGCGATGTCAGCACCACGCATTCGTCCCAGAAGCACACACAGCCGTCAGGGCGGAGGCTGGAGGACAATAGCCAATCACAGATGCGGGAGCAGTGCTGGTCATCACGGCGATGGTCGGGGAGGTCTGGCAGGGAGAGGAAGTGGTCGACCAACTGGGAGGCAAAGTGGGCAGGGTCACTGTCCACCAGCAGGATCTGATTGGAGGGGAGAAAGTTATTGAGTTCAATTCGTACATTAGCATAACTAGCTAACCAGTAACCATTAATGTGTAATTTAATCAGACTTTGCAGTGCAGTAAAATGCACTTCTAAAATAGCTGAAAAGTCTATGTTGGGCGATCTACTATTCACTTTCACTGTCTACACTCTTAGAAAAAAAGGTGCTATCTAGAACCTTAAAAGGTTCTTCAACTGTCCCCATAGGAAAACCCTTTGAAGAACACTTTTTGGTTGCAGGTAAGAACCTTTTTGGTTCCAGGTAGAATACTTTTGTTCTACATAGAACCCAAAAGTGTTCTACCTGGAACCAAAAATGGTTCTCTTATGGGGACAGCTGAAGAACCCTTTTGGAAAAAAAAATTCTAAGAGTGTAGTTATTCCACATTTATCCATATAGTTATTCCCCATGTAGACATTCACCTTGAGTTTGTACTGTTTGGCTGCTTTCCAGATGAACTTCTTACTGTGTCCTCCAGCTCCCACCACCAGCACAGTTTTCCCTTGCATCAGGTAGTACTGGGAGCGGGTGAGGGGGGTGAGGAGGAGGGTGCCCCTACTCCACCCCTCTATCCCACTGTCACATCCCTCCATCCCCATCCCTCGCTCTTGGAAGGAGGAGTGGAGACATAGGGAGGGGTGGAGGCCCAAAATAACAGGCCTGATGATGGAGCCATCCATGGTGAAAAGGAGGTCCACGCCTAGGAGAGAGGGAGTAGAAAGGAGGTAGAAAGAGATAGAGATATGGAGTGGTAGAGAGGGAGATAGATAGACAAATAGAGAGATATGGAGAGGGAGAAGAAGGGTCAGATAGTAGCTCAGTGAGACATAGTGTTGACAGAGGGTGAGACTTATGATGGCATAAGTATACCTATGCTTTCAGAGGCTTCAACAGTAATCTGCAGTAATCTTTATCAAATCATATATCAACTCAGACAGCTTCATGCTGCCTTAGAGGAAAACATGGGCAGTGAGCCAACACACACAAACACACACCTATCATGTCGGTCTGGGCACCCGCTCCACCGCGTTGTTCTGCGGACATGCTTGACTCTGTTTCCATGACAACACAGAGGCAGGACAGGGCGGTATCCAGTGCTAGGCGACAGAAAGATTTTGCCATGGTAGGGTCAGTGAAACCGCACTCTAATAGGGTGGTCTCCAAAGACTGAGAGAGGGAGTGGCTGTGAGAGAGAGGGTCGTTGGACAAACCCACTCTACACACCAACTGATGGAGGGGAAGAGAGAGAGAGAGAGAGAGAGAGAGAGAGAGAGAGAGAGAGAGAGAGAGAGAGAGAGAGAGAGAGAGAGAGAGAGAGAGAGAGAGAGAGAGGGGGAGTAGATGAAGATAGAAGAGAAGTTAGATATAAGGTCATAACAGTTCAGTTCAAGTATTTAGCCTATTACATGAATTTGTCTCGCATTCCTGAGTTAAAGACAACCTCTTAGACGTTAAGTCCCCTATTTAGGGGACTTTGAGTGGTTCTGGACCGGTTCCAACTGATATTTTGGTGTACAGAGCTCTCTGTGAACGTCGCAGGGTCCAATTCCTTATAGTGCCAGTAAGCCCCATCTGTCTGCTTTCCGCTACCACTCTGACTTGAAGTGTCAGGTTGGCTTGAAGTGTCAGACCTGACTTGAAGTGTCAGGTTGGCTTGAAGTGTCAGACCTGACTTGAAGTTTCAGGTTTCATACATTTGCATTGGGAGTGACGTGTCACATTTTCTGGCCTATCTAGACAAACTATCGATTTCCTCTGCCTCTGAGCGACGGAGGCCAGCCAAGGAGATGACATATTGAAGGGGACAGTCTAGCGAATCCAACCGCTGTAGTTTAATCTCACTGTAGAATTGAAACACGACCACTTTCTCTTGGCTGAAGTTGTAACGAGTCTGCAGACATTCGAATGGTGTCTGTGCGTCGCTCAGAGGACGCTTGGCAGAAAATGCTCCGTCATCAGTTATATGAAATGGGGCCAAATTTGTACTGTCACTAAATAGGATCATATTTATTTTACAGTTATATGAAAGGTGAAATCTTATAGTAAGTCATCAATAATTTGGTTGTTACTATATTTAGAAAGCATTTCAGTCATTTCAAGCCCTATTCCCCCACTTTCGATGTATAGGACATTTTTTTAAATAAATCGTATATTTTCATAATATTTGTACTATATACAATACACCTCAACTATTTATAACTATTTTTTACCAGAAAACTAGGCATCATTACTCATTATTGTTTATGATTATCTCATAAAAAAGTATTACTTTTGGGTATGTCTATTGAAATCTACATTTTGCCATAACGTTCAAGAGGAGACATCAACATTTTACAGAGCTATATACAATATACACTGAGTGTACAAAACATTAACAATACCTTCCTAATATTGAGTTGCACCCCCCCCCCCCCCCCCCCCCCCCCCCCCCCCCCTTTTTGCCCTCAGAACAGCCTCAATTCGTCAGGTGTCTAAAGCGTTCCACAGGGATGCTGGCCCATGTTGACTCCAATGCATCCCACAGTTGTGTTAAGTTGGCTAGATGTCTGTTGGGTGCTGGACCATTCTTGATACACAAGGAAAACTGTTGAGCGTGAAAAACCCAGCAGCGTTGCAGTTCTTGAGACAAACCGGTGCGCCTGGCACCTACTACCATGCCCCGTTGAAAGGCACTTAAATCTTTTGTCTTGACCAATCACCCTCTGAATAGCACACATACACAATCCATGTCTCAAATCTCTCAAGGCTTAAAAATCCTTCTTTAACCTGTCTCCCCTTCATCTACACAGATTGAAGTGGATTTAACAAGTGACATTAATAAGAGATCATAGCTTTCACCTGGATTTACCTGGTCAGTCTGTGTCATGGAAAGAGCAGGTGTCCTTAATGTTTTGTATACTCAACTATACAGTGCATTCGGAAAGTATTCAGACCCCTTGACTTTTTCCACATTTTGTTACGTTACAGCCTTATTCTAAAATTGATTAAATCGTTTTTTCCCTCACACAATATCCCATATTGACAAAACCAAAACAAGTTTTATAAATTGTAGCAAATGTATAAAAAATTAAAACCTGAAAATATACAGTGGGGAAAAAAAGTATTTAGTCAGCCACCAATTGTGCAAGTTCTCCCACTTAAAAAGATGAGAGAGGCCTGTCATTTTCATCATAGGTACACGTCAACTAAGACAGACAAATTGAGAAAAAAAAATCCAGAAAATCACATTGTAGGATTTTTAATGAATTTATTTGCAAATTATGGTGGAAAATAAGTATTTGGTCACCTACAAACAAGCAAGATTTCTGGCTCTCACAGACCTGTAACTTCTTCTTTAAGAGGCTCCTCTGTCCTCCACTCATTACCTGTATTAATGGCACCTGTTTGAACTTGTTATCAGTATAAAAGACACCTGTCCACAACCTCAAACAGTCACACTCCAAACTCCACTATGGTCAAGACCAAAGAGCTGTCAAAGGACACCAGAAACAAAATTGTAGACCTGCACCAGGCTGGGAAGACTGAATCTGCAATAGGTAAGCAGCTTGGTTTGAAGAAATCAACTGTGGGAGCAATTATTAGGAAATGGAAGACATACAAGACCACTGATAATCTCCCTCGATCTGGGGCTCCACGCAAGATCTCACCCCGTGGGGTCAAAATGATCACAAGAACGGTGAGCAAAAATCCCAGAACCACACGGGGGGACCTAGTGAATGACCTGCAGAGAGCTGGGACCAAAGTAACAAAGCCTACCATCAGTAACACACTACTCCGCCAGGGACTCAAATCCTGCATTGCCAGACGTGTCCCCCTGCTTAAGCCAGTACATGTCCAGGCCCGTCTGAAGTTTGCTAGAGTGCATTTGGATGATCCAGAAGAGGATTGGGAGAATGTCATATGGTCAGATGAAACCAAAATATAACTTTTTGGTAAAAACTCTACTCATCGTGTTTGGAGGACAAAGAATGCTGAGTTGCATCCAAAGAACACCATACCTACTGTGAAGCATGGGGGTGGAAACTTCATGCTTTGGGGCTGTTTTTCTGCAAAGGGACCAGGACGACTGATCCGTGTAAAGGAAAGAATGAATGGGGCCATGTATCGTGAGATTTTGAGTGAAAACCTCCTTCCATCAGCAAGGGCATTGAAGATGAAACGTGGCTGGGTCTTTTAGCATGACAATGATCCCAAACACACCTCCCGGGCAACGAAGGAGTGGCTTCGTAAGAAGCATTTCAAGGTCCTGGAGTGGCCTAGCCAGTCTCCAGATCTCAACCCCATAGAAAATCTTTGGAGGGAGTTGAAAGTCCGTGTTGCCCAGCAACAGCCCCAAAACATCACTGCTCTAGAGGAGATCTGCATGGAGGAATGGGCCAAAATACCAGCAACAGTGTGTGAAAACCTTGTGAAGACTTACAGAAAACGTTTGACCTGTGTCATTGCCAACAAGGGGTATTTAACAAAGTATTGAGAATCTTTTGTTATTGACCAAATACTTATTATCCACCATAATTTGCAAATAAATTCATAAAAAATCCTACAATGTGATTTTCTGGAATTTCTTTTCTCATTTTGTCTGTCATAGTTGACATGTACCTATGATGAAAATTACAGGCCTCTCTCATCTTTTTAAGTGGGAGAACTTGCACAATTGGTGGCTGACTAAATACTTTTTTCCCCCACTGTACATTTACATAACTATTCAGACCCTTTACTCAGTACTTTGTTGAAGCACCTTTGGCAGCGATTACAGCTTTGTGTCTTCTTGGGTATGACGCTACAAGCTTGGCAAATCTGTATTTGGGGAGTTTCTTACATTCTCCTCTGCAGATCCTCTCATGCTCTGTCAGGTTGGCTGGGGAGCATCGCTGCACAGCTATTTTCAGGTCTCTCCAGAGATGTTCGATCGGGTTCAAGTCCGGGCTCTGGCTGGGCCACTCAAGGAAATTCAGAGACTTGTCCCGAAGCCACTCCTGCGTTGTCTTGGCTGTGTGGTTAGGGTCATTGTCCTGTTGGAAGGTAAACCTTCGCCCCAGTCTGAGGTCCTGAGCACTCTGGAGCAGGTTTTCATCAAGGATCTCTCTGTACTTTGCGCCATTCATCTTTCCCTCGATCCTGACTAGTCTCCCAGTCCCTGCCACTGAAAAACATCCCCACACCATGATGCTGCCACCCCAATGCTTCATGGTGCCTGGTTTCCTCCAGACGTGACGCTTGGCATTCAGGCCAAAGAGTTCAATCTTGGTTTCATCAGACCACAGAATCTTGTTTCTTATGGTCTGAGATTCATTTAGGAGCATTTTGGCAAACTCCAAGCGGGCTGTCATGTGCCTTTTACTGAGGATTGGCTTCCGTCTGGCCACTCTAAAATAAAGGCCTGATTGGTGGAGTGCTGCAGAGATGGTTGTCCTTCTGGAAGGTTCTCCCATCTCCACAGAGGAACTCTGGAGCTCTGTCAGAGTGACCATTAGGTTCTTGGTCACTTCCCTGACAAAGGCCCTTTTCCCTCGATTGCTCAGTTTGGCTGGGCGGCCAGTTCTAGGAAGAGTCTTTGTGGTTCCAAACTTCTTCCATTTAAGAATGATGGAGGCCACTGTGTTCTTGGGGATCTTCAATGCTGCAGAAATGTTTTGGTACCCTTCCCCAGATCTGTGCCTCGACACAATCCTGTCTCAGAACTCTACGGGCAATTCTTTCGACCTCATGGTTTGGTTTTTGCGCTGACATGCACTGTCAACTGTGGGACCTTATATAGACAGGTGTGTGCCTTTCCAAATTATGTTCAATCAATTGAATTTACCCCAGATGGACTCCAATCAAGTTGTAGAAACATCTCAAGGATGATCAATGGAAACAGGATGCACCTGAGCTCAATTTCGAGTCTCATAGCAAAGGGTCTGAATACTTATGTAAATAAGGTATTTCTGTTTTTTATTTGTAATAAATTTGCAAACATTTCTAAAAATCTGTTTTTTCGGTTTGTCATTATGGGGTATTGTGTGTAGATTGATGAGGATTTTCATTTTATCCATTTTAAAATAAGGCTGTAACGTAACAAAATGTGGAAAAAGGGAAGGGGTCTGAATACTTTCCGAATGCACTGTACGTTTACAGTATCGAGGGTCAATGCAAAGACATGATAAACACAACGCAAAGACAAGGGCAGCAAAGTCAAGGGTCAAACAGCTGCTGCTAGTCATACAACAACGTTTTCATGATGCACATAGTCAACATTTCAATTCTCTCTCCTACCTCGTTCTCTTTTGTTCTCTCTCTCTCTTACTCTCACCTTGTAGAGGAGAGGCAGGTCCAGAGGTGAGCGAGTTACTATGGCACACAGTCTGAAGGACAGGTCTGTAACCTGAGGCCTGCAGTCTGACAGACACACAGGCACACAACAACTACCTCATTACAACTGAGAGTGGGAGGACCATCTATAGTAATGGTCGTAGTACATTACATTGAAAGTAGTTAGAGAGTCTTTACAAGTTCAATGTCATATGAACACCACATACAAATAAGCATGAAACAAGGTCCTCAAACCTCAAACTACATTCATAATCCCGACTAAAGCCCTCACCATTGTACTGTTCCCAGGTGCGGTCCTCTACTCGTGGCCCAGGCTTCAGTGGGGAGCAGTAGGCCTCCAGCAGCACTGCCTCTCCAGGGAGGAGCTGGGGCAGGAGATAACTCACCTTGGCCCAGACCTCATCCCTGCTGTTCCTGGACAGGTAGACAGGGGGTGAGGTTGCCTCGCCCACGAACCTCCCCCCACTGCACCTGAGCACCACCTAGGCACAGAGAGAAAGGAAAGCTTGAGAATTTGTGTACTTTTACATAAAGGCTGACTGAATTCTCTAAAAAACAGGACATACCCTCTCTGATCCCCTCATATTCTCAGACTCCAGGAAAGAGTCCACCTTGTTTCGAACAGAGTTCATCCCTTCCTCCGCCCCCATTTCTAGGTGCACCACCTCCACCCCTCCTGTCCTGCCCTCCTCCAGCCCCATCTGCCCCGGGGGAAAAAGAAGGGCCAGGGTCGGGGGGCAGTGGATCTTGGCCTTCTGCAGCAGAACCCTGGTGGTCAGAACATTCCCCCAGAACCGACCCAGTGCTCCAGAACCTCCGCTTGGGCAGTCTGTCTCTCGGGTCATTTCCTCCTCAGCCCACGGGTCACATGACAGGAAGTAGGTGACCCTGCGAGGGGGGTTGAAGTTGGATAGGAAAGTGCGCCCTCCCAGGTCAAAGGTGACAGCCTTGTGGACCAGGAGGGAGGAGGAGGAGCGAGAGAGCCAAGACGGACAGAGACACAGGAGAGCATCTCCTAAAGGGAGGAAGAGAGGGAGGGGTGGGGTAGAGAGAGAGAAGGAGGGAGGGACAGAAGGAGCAGGTGATGGGGGAAGTGAGGTAGAGAGAAATTGGATGGGGGTAAGAGAGTATTTGGCATAGGGCCGATGTACCTAGAAAACTGGAGATTGGAAATATGATTGACATATTTCCATAGAAAAAGGTCAAAAGTCATAGAGACGATCGTGTCACATGTAAACCAAACTATTTTTTTACCACTTGGTCCCACTTCAACGTTGGAGTAAAGTGTTTTAATCTGTTATTAGTCATAACAGAGGGACAAAGCGGGCGGGAGAATAACTATTTATCATACCTGGGATAACTATAGTTTTAACTATATTTTGTAGAAAGTACATCTTTTTTGGGGGAACAAACAGTTACTTTGGAGGTGCCTACAATCGTATAATTGTTTTGGCTATCTAGAACCTAAAAGGGTTCTTCGGCTGTCTCCATAGGATAACCCTTTGATGAACCCTTTTTGGTTCCAGGTAAAACCCTTTTGAGTTCCATGTAGAACCCTTTGCACAGAGGGTGTTCTACTGAAAACAAAAAGGGTTCTCCTATGGGGACAGACAAAGAACCCTTTTGGAACCCTTTTTTCTTTAGTGTACAACTATTTGAATACAGATCCCAAAAAATGACTACTTCTTAAAACGATTTGAATACAGATCTCAGAAAGTGATAATCACAAAGTTACTACACATGTATAAGAACTTGATGTTAAGTGTTACTGTATAACCTTATGTCACTCATTATGAAAATATATTTGTTAGTCATTTTGAAGCTGCAGAAGTGGTCTACTCTAATGTTGAGGTGATACCATGTCACCGGGCCGCCAGTTGGGGAACCATGCTATAGGCTATATTAAGATTAATATCTGAGAGCCCTCAAAACCATGTGCTAATGATCATATATTTAGACTAATTCAACTAACTGTTGTAGTTTTTGGTTCTTTGTCAAATATTTGGCAGCCATCAAATGTATTTATATATATTTTTCAAATAACTTGCATATATTCAAATACCTTCAAATATTATTTGTTTTTCTGAGAGGTATTCAAATTACTTTCAAATATTATTTGTTTTTCTGAGACCTGTATTTTAATATCACAGAAAATATTTGCCTTTTAGTTGAAACTATATTTGACAACCTCAGTATTTTCAAATAAACTACAAATAAACACATACTGTAACTACAAAATGCAACTATTTTCTGCCCATGTCTGCTATTTATGTATAAATAGAGTCAAGGAGGGGAGTGACATTCTCATTAAATGTCAACCTGCACTAGTTATCTTTCCCCTCAACCTGATGGCCATCAGGCTACAATTTGAGCTATTACTATTAGACTCAGAGCTTTTCTCTCTAGAGGGCGATTATGTTATTTGATAATGACACTAATGAATCCCATAAAAGGATTGCCGTTCCAATATATACACTACATGACCAAAAGTATGTGGACACCTGCTCGTCGAACGTCTCATTCCAAAATCATGGGCATTAATATGGAGTTGGTCCCCCCTTTGCTGCTATAACAGCCTCCACTCTTCTGGGAAGGCTTTCCACTAGATTTACATTTGATTTACATTAGATGTTGGAACATTGCTGCGGGGACAAGAGCATTAGTGAGGTCGGGCACTGATGTTGGGCGATTAGGCCTGGCTCGCAGTCAGCGTTCCAATTCATCTCAAAGTTGTTCGATGGGGTTGGCCAATCAAGTTCTTCCACACTGATCTTGACAAATCATTTCTGTATATTCTCGCTTTGTGCACAGGGGCATTGTCATGCTGAAACAGGAAAGGGCCTTCCCAAAACTGTTGCCACAAAGTTGGAAGCACAGAATCGTCTAGAATGTCATTGTATGCTGTAGCATTAAGATTTCCCTTCACTGGAACTAAGAAGCCTGAACCATGAAAAACAGCCCCAGACCATTATTCCTCTTCCACCCATCTTTACAGTTGGCACTCTGCATTGGGGCAGGTAGCGTTCTCCTGGCATCCACCAAACCCAGATTTGTCAGTCGGACTGCCAGATGGTGAAGCGTGATTCATCACTCCAGAGAACACGTTTCCACTGCTCCAGTGTCTAATGGCGGTGAGCTTTACACCACTCCAACCAACGCTTGTCATTGCGCATGTTGATCTTAAGGTTTTGTGCGGCTGCTCGGCCATGGAAACCCATTTCATGAAGCTCCCGACGAACAGTTATTATGCTGACATTGCTTTCCAGTGCAGTTTGGAACTCGGTAGTGAGTCTTGCAACCGAGGACAGACGATTTTTACGCGCTACATGCTTCAGCACTCGGCGGTCCCTACCACTTCGCAGCTGAGCTGTTGTTGCTCCTAGACGTTTCCACTTCACAATAACAGCACTTACAGTTGACCGGGGAAGCTCAAGCAGGGCAGAAATTTGACGAACTGACTTGTTGGAAAGGTGGCATCCTATGACGGTGGCACGTTGAAAGTCACTGAGCTCTTCAGTAAGGCCATTCTACTGCCAATGTTTGTCTACGGAGATTGCATGGCTATGTGCTCGATTTTATACATCTCTCAGCAACGGGTGTGGCTGAAATAGCTGAATCTACTAATTTGAATGGGTGTCCACATACTTTTTTATATCTAGTGTGTTTTAATGGTGCTCTGGCAAGGCAAAGTTTTTAGGTCCATAGATGGTTAAGAAAACTATGTACAATCTAACGCCATTCTGTTAGGCACTAAGGGACACTTGGAAGACCTCTTGGAAGACCTCTTGGAAAACACTTTTGCACATACTTTGAAGGGTAAAGTTCTATGTTTTGGCAGATGCTCTAGCCAAACAGGCTTTTACATTGATTTACTGTCAGACTGATACCGGTAAGCACGTACTGGTACTGGTTGGTACAAAGTACCAATAAAGTGGAATGATTACAGGATTCATACCCCCAAAAACTGTGACCACATTTTTTACTTTGTTTAGTCATTTTGACAGATGGAATTTCATGACTTTTCCATGACTTTGAATCAAATTTCCATGACCAGCAATTGGCGACGTCTCTACGTACACTACCGTTCAAAAGTTTGGGGTCACCTAGAAATGTCCTTGTTTTCGAAAGAAAAGCAATTTCTTTGTCCATTAAAATAACATCAAATTGATCAGAAATACAGTGTAGACATTGTTAATGTTGTAAATGGCTATTGAAGCTGCAAACTGCCATTTTGTTAATGGAATATCTACATAGGCGTACAGAGGCCCATTATCAGCAACCATCAGTCCTGTGTTCCAATGGCACGTTGTGTTTGCTAATCCAAGTTTATCATTTTAAAAGGCTAATTGATCATTAGAAAACCATTTTGCAATTATGTTAGCACAGCTGAAAACTGTTGTGCTGATTAAAGAAGCAATAAAACTGGCCTTCTTGAGACTAGTTGAGTGTCTGGAGCTTCCGCAATTGTGGGTTCGATTACAGGCTCAAAATGGCCAGAAACAAATAACTTTCTCCTGAAACTTGTCAGTCTATTCTTGTTCTGAGAAATGAAGGCTATTCCCTGCGAGAAATTGCCAAGAAACTGAAGATCTCGTACAACGCTGTGTACTACTCCCTTCACAGAACAGCGCAAACTGTCTCTAACCAGAATAGAAAGAGGAGTGGGAGGCCCCGGTGCACAACTGAGCAAGAGGACAAATACATTAGAGTGTCTAGTTTGAGAAACAGACGCCTCACAGGTCCTCAACTGGCAGCTTCATTAAATAGTACCCACAAAACACCAGTCTCAACGTCAACAGCGAAGAGGCGACTCCGGGATGCTGACCTTCAAGGCAGAGTTGCAAAGAAAAATACATATCTCAGACATATCTCAGATATATATATATATATAAAAAAAGATTAAGATGGGCAGTCTGAGATATGGCTTTTTCTTTGCAACTCTGCCTCCTGTAGCTCAGTTAGTAGAGCATGGCGCTTGCAATGCCAGGGTTGTGGGTTCGAGGCCCACGGGAGGCCAGTATGAAAAATGTATGCTCTCACTAACTGTAAATCGCTCTGGATAAGAGTGTCTGCTAAAATGACAAAATAAAATAAAAAATATATATATATGTATATATTTTCAGTCAGGTTTTAGAAAGACATACTCCACTGATTCATGTCTACTTTAGTTCACTGATTTCATCAGGAAAGAGATTGATGAGGGAAATCTCTGTGGAATGGTACTGCTTGACCTACAGAAGGCCTTTGATACAGTTAACCACTGTCTCCTAATCTCCAAACTGGATGCACTGGGATTAAGCAGTATCCCTCTAGGCTGGGTAAAGTCATATTTATCAGGTAGGGAGCAAGTAGTAGAGATTAATGATTCACTGTCTCAGGCAAAACCAATGAGTTGTGGCGTTCCACAGGGGAGTGTGCTTGGGCCTCTACTTTTTTTTTTACTGTATATTAACGATATGAAAGATGCTTGTTCTTGCCGTCTATTCCTTTATGCGGATGACTCTACACATCTGGTGTCTCACAAAAGTAAAACTATTTTGGAGAGCATACTTAGCACAGAGCTTACTAACATTCGCAAATGGCTTGGAGATAATAAGCTATCTCTGCACAGGTAAAACTGAGGCAATTCTTTTGAGTTGGTCCTCTGAAATCAGAGTGGAGTTAGGGGGTGAGGTGCTGACTACAAAAACCTCTGTTAGCTACCTGGGATGCGTCCTTGATGGAAGCTTGGGAGGTGTGAGCATGGCCACTAAAGTGCTAGGGAAGGTTAATGCCAGCACTAAGTTTTTGGCTAGAAAGTCCAAGCTGCTGGATAAGGACTCCTGAAAGTGCTAGCCATTGCCCTCATTCAATACCATTTTGACTATGTTAGTACTTCCTGGTTTGGGGGCTTATCTAAGCTTCTGAAGGGGAAGCTCCAGATAGCCCAGAATAAGCTGATCAGGGTAGTATTGAAGGTGAGTCCACATACTCAAATAGGCAGGAGCTGCTTTCAGGAACTCAACTGGCTGCCTGTTGAGGCTAGGGTGTCCCAGATTAGACTGGCTTTGGTTTACAGGAGTATCTATGGTTCTGCAGATATCTAACTGATTACTTTCCCCGTGTTAGGGATGCACACAATGACAGCCCCAGATCAGGTGTTGCTAATGTGTACTTACACAGGTTCAGGAGTAATGCTGGGAATGGTACTTTCTTGTATACTGGAGCCTCAGAGTGGATTGAGTTGCCTCTGACCATAAAAACGACATCCTCTCTGGGCAGCTTTAAAAATGAAGTAAAAAACTGTTTGATGTCTTCTGTGCCCATATGAATGACCCCTATGATGTAACTGCAATGATGAGATACAGTGGGGAAAAAAAGTATTTAGTCAGCCACCAATTGTGCAAGTTCTCCCACTTAAAAAGATGAGAGAGGCCTGTAATTTTCATCATAGGTACACGTCAACTATGACAGACACATTGAGAAAAAAAATTCCAGAAAATCACATTGTAGGATTTTTAAAGAATTTATTTGCAAATTATGGTGGAAAATAAGAATCTGGTCACCTACAAAAAAGCAAGATTTCTGGCTCTCACAGACCTGTAACTTCTTATTTAAGAGGCTCCTCTGTCCTCCACTCGTTACCTGTATTAATGGCACCTGTTTGAACTTGTTATCAGGATAAAAGACACCTGTCCACAACCTCAAACAGTCACACTCCAAACTCCACTATGGCCAAGACCAAAGAGCTGTCAAAGGACACCAGAAACAAAATTGTAGACCTGCACCAGGCTGGGAAGACTGAATCTGCAATAGGTAAGCAGCTTGGTTTGAAGAAATCAACTGTGGGAGCAATTATTAGGAAATGGAAGACATACAAGACGAAGAAGGATGAGTACAACCCCAAGAACACCATCCCAACTGTGAAGCATGGAGGTGGAAACATCATTCTTTGGGGATGCTTTTCTGCAAAGGGGACAGGACGACTGCACCGTATTGAGGAGAGGATGGATGGGGCCATGTATCGCGAGATCTTGGCCAACAACCTCCTTCCCTCAGTAAGAGCATTGAAGATGGGTCGTGGCTGGGTCTTCCAGCATGACAACGACCCAAAACACACAGCCAGGGCAACTAAGGAGTGGCTCCGTAAGAAGCATCTCAAGGTCCTGGAGTGGCCTAGCCAGTCTCCAGACCTGAACCCAATAGAAAATCTTTGGAGGGAGCTGAAAGTCTGTATTGCCCAGCGACAGCCCCAAAACCTGAAGGATCTAGAGAAGGTCTATATGGAGGAGTGGGCCAAAATCCCTGCTGCAGAGTGTGCAAACCTGGTCAAGACCTACAGGAAAAATATGATCTCTGTAATTACAAACAAAGGTTTCTGTACCAAATATTAAGTTCTGCTTTTCTGATGTATCAAATACTTATGTCATGCAATAAAATGCAAATTAATTACTTAAAAATCATACAATGTGATTTTCTGGATTTTTGTCTAGATTCCGTCTCTCACAGTTGAAGTGTAACTATGATAAAAATGACAGACCTCTACATGCTTTGTAAGTAGGAAAACCTGCAAAATCGGCAGTGTATCAAATACTTGTTCTCCCCACTGTACAGTGGGGAAAAAAAGTATTTAGTCAGCCACCAATTGTGCAAGTTCTCCCACTTAAAAAGACGAGGGAGGCCTGTAATTTTCATCATAGGTACACGTCAACTATGACAGACAAATTGAGAAAAAAATATCCAGAAAATCACATTGTAGGATTTTTAATGAATTTATTTGCAAATTATGGTGGAAAATAAGTATTTGGTCACCTACAAACAAGCAAGATTTCTGGCTCTCACAGACCTGTAACTTCTTCTTTAAGAGGCTCCTCTGTCCTCCACTCGTTACCTGTATTAATGGCACCTGTTTGAACTTGTTATCAGTATAAAATACACCTGTCCACAACCTCAAACAGTCACACTCCAAACTCCACTATGGCCAAGACCAAAGAGCTGACAAAATTGTAGACCTGCAACAGGCTGGGAAGACTGAATCTGCAATAGGTAAACAGCTTGGTTTGAAGAAATCAACTGTGGGAGCAATTATTAGGAAATGGAAGACATACAAGACCACTGATAATCTCCCTCGATCTGGGGCTCCACGCAAGATCTCACCCTGTGGGGTCAAAATGATCACAAGAACGGTGAGCAAAAATCCCAGAACCACACAGGGGGACCTAGTGAATGACCTGCAGAGAGCTGGGACCAAAGTAACAAAGCCTACCATCAGTAACACACGACGCCGCCAGGGACTCAAATCCTGCAGTGCCAGACATGTCCCCCTGCTTAAGCCAGTACATGTCCAGGCCCGTCTGAAGTTTGCTAGAGTGCATTTGGTTGATCCAGAAGAGGATTGGGAGAATGTCATATGGTCAGATGAAACCAAAATATAACTTTTTGGTAAAAACTCAACTCGTCGTGTTTGGAGGACAAAGAATGCTGAGTTGCATCCAAAGAACACCATACCTACTGTGAAGCATGGGGGTGGAAACATCATGCTTTGGGGCTGTTTTTCTGCAAAGGGACCAGGACGACTGATCCGTGTAAAGGAAAGAATGAATGGGGCCATGTATCGTGAGATTTTGAGTGAAACCTCCTTCCATCAGCAAGGGCATTGAAGATGAAACGTGGCTGGGTCTTTCAGCATGACAATGATCCCAAACACACCGCCCGGGCAACGAAGGAGTGGCTTCGTAAGAAGTTATTTCAAGGTCCTGGAGTGGCCTAGCCAGTCTCCAGATCTCAACCCCATAGAAAATCTTTGGAGGGAGTTGAAAGTCTGTGTTGCCCAGCGACAGCCCCAAAACATTACTGCTCTAGAGGAGATCTGCATGGAGGAATGGGCCAAAATACCAGCAACAGTGTGTGAAAACCTTTTGAAGACTTACAGAAAACGTTTGACTTGTGTCATTGCCAACAAAGGGTAAATAACAAAGTATTGAGAAACTTTTGTTATTGACCAAATACTTATTTTCCACCATAATTTGCAAATAAATTCATTAAAAATCCTACAATGTGATTTTCTGGATTTTCTTTTCTAATTTTGTCTCTCATAGTTGACGTGTACCTATGATGAAAATTACAGGCCTCTCTCATCTTTTTAAGTGGGAGAACTTGCACAATTGGTGGCTGACTAAATACTTTTTTCCCCCACTGTATATGTTCTTCTTCTTTGTTTTTTGTTTTATTATCTCTTTGTCACATACTGTGTTCAACCGTTTTCGATCTTGCTTAGCCATCTTGTTTCAAGAGGACCACAATGGAAATATGTCCCAGACTTTATTGTGTGTTATCCTTGATGATTTTACTCATGTGCATGTATGGCTTTTACAAGTTTTATGTGTGCTTGTTTTTTTTAAATGGTTGAATTATTAAACTAAACTAAAAAGAGATCAATGAAGCCCACTAGCAGTTGCCCAGGCTACTTTGCAGGCTGACTAGCATCTATTGATGTTTCAATGTCCCATACATTGGATGCCCAAATCAACTGGAAGTATCTATAAAACAAGTTGAAGCCACTTAATCCAAAAGAAAGGCTATATCTAATATTTTTTCCTAAAATTACTTTTCACGATTCACATGATTTGATTCACCGCGATTGAACAGAATCCCAACTAATACAATGGCGAAATGAACCGTTAGTTTCGTAAAAAATAATAGTTTCATCTAATCATACAAATTGTTCAAAAAAGTAAATCAACTTTGTATGGCCTTATTCGCGAGTGTCAGTAGAACAGGCGAAGAAAAAAGAATCAACATGCCACACAGGTGCTAGAAACCGCAACAAAAAAAATGCTAGAAGCTATACTACACTATACAGTAGACAGTGCTGTCATTTTGGCACTGAATGGTGATTTCTAGCGTTTTTTACCGTTATTTTTGTTGTTGTTGATATTTTATTAACTTTCAGAATTGATCAAAGGGCCTGTCTAAATTAATAAAATGGAACGGATCTGGCCGCTGGGCCGCCAGTTGAATAGTCCTGTGCTAGTGTCATATTCCGATCCTGGCTGATATGGTGATTATTATGTGATTGATAAAATATTTTTTTAAACTGTTCCTAAATAAATTACATTAACAGAAATTATTAAATTAATTTCCATGACTTTCCCTAAACTTTTCACATTTGATCATTTCCCAAAACTTTTCCAGGCCTGTGTCAAGCCCTGACTTATGGGACTCTAGTATGTTGAGTCAGGGTGTGGAGTTCTATGTGGTATTTTCTATGTTCTCATTCTAGGTTGTGTATTTCTATGTTTGGCCGGGTGTGATTCCCAATCAGAGGCAGCTGTCGCTCGTTGTCTCTGATTGGGGATCATACTGAAGTAGCCTATTGGCAATCAGTTGTTGTGGGTTCTTGTTCCGTGTGTAGGCTTGGTTTGTGTTTAGCCTGAGGACTTCACGTTACGTTGGTTTGTTGTTTTGTTCGTGTGTTTATCGTTGAAATAAACATGTATGCATTTCACGCTGCGCCTTGGTCTGACCCGTCCTTAAACGAGCGTGACAGCCTGGAATCCACAATTGTAAAAATCTAGGTATTTTCCAGGATTTTCATGAAAGTACGAACCCTGGTGTACATATCTGTTGTGTTTTCTGTCTGGGTGTGTTCTGCTACCATACCTGGGCTCCGTTGGCCTGCCTCCAACAGCAGAGAGAGGTAGGGGAGGGGGGATCCCAAAACGCAGACACACATCTCAGAGTGACTCATACCTGGAAGAGAACACAGTAGAACAGCCAATAGTGGCATGGTCAAATTCCCCATGCATCAGTGCTGCAGCCTTTCATGAAATAGAAAGTAGTTAGGTCCAAAAACAACCATATAGGGGTCTGCAGACACTAAATAGGTAGGGGCTAGGGGAAGGGGCTAGATGTTGTTTTTTGGACCGTGCAAGAGTCAACGGAAACACACCTTGACACACCTGTTCACCTGCTAACCCAGTGACATATAGTACTAAACTCACTTGGTCTGGGTAACTGTGCAGGTTAAGATCCAGTGATAGGTTCACCTGGCCTGTAGGCTTAACTCTGGTTCAAGGGTTCAGAGAGTCGCAGGTAGAAATGTAAGGTGATAGAGCAGCCATGATTCCAATATCATAGGGATTGTAATAAACAGGGAGGTGTCTTTCTAGCCTGGTACACTTCTATCTGCCACATCCTGGATGTTTCAGCCTGGTGATCGTAGCTCGGGTCTCACCCTGTGGCAGTTCCTGTGTTTCAGGTAGGTCGATCTCCCTCAGAGCCTCCTGCAGGGTCTGGAACAGCGCCACCTCCTGGCTTGAGGACCGTGCCCTCGGTCCCCCAGTAGCACAGCCCCCTGGAGAGGAGGGGAGGCTGGGGACAACGGTGCTGGGGAGAGAGCTGAGAGAGAGCTGTGGGGGATAGGTGTGAGATGGACAGTGTGTGTGTGTGTGTGTGTGTGTGTGTGTGTGTGTGTGTGTGTGTGTGTGTGTGTGTGTGTGTGTGTGTGTGCGCACGCGCGCGTGTGTGTGTGTGCGAGAGAGCGATAATAATATAATAGGATTAATGAGAAAATAATATAAAGTTGAGAGAAGGAGACAGAGAAAGAAAACGTGTCATCAAAGGGATTGTATTATAATCTATACATTTATACTATATCTACAAATAATGAATAGTCTATAAACTAGGGATGGGAATTGCCAGGGACCTCACGATACGATATTATTACGGTACTTAGGTGTCGATACAATATGTCTTGTGATTCTAACTATTCTATATGTATTGCAATTCGATACTGTGATTTTATTGCGATTTCATGTTCCAAACATATTGGTCACTATATGTCTGCTGCAGAGAGACAAGAGAGATCATGAGAAAATGAGTTCTGATCAGTCATGGAAATAAAAGTGCTAAAAACATGTTGGCTCACTATTTAAAAAAGTATTGATATGCACTGAACAAAAATATAAATGCAGCAATTTCAAAGATTTTACTGAGTTACAGTTCATATAAGGAAATCAGTAAAATTGAATAAATTAATTAGGCCTTAATCTATGGATTTCACATGACTGGGAATACAGATATGAAGATACCTTAAAAAAAGGTAAGGGCATTGATCAGAAAACCAGAAGCATCTGGTGTGACCACCATTTGCCTCATGCAGCTCGACACATCTCCTTCGCATAGAGTTGATCAGGCTGTTGATTGTGGCCTGTGGAATGTTGTCCCCCTCCTTTTCAATGGCTGTGCAAAGTTGCTGGATATTGGTGGGAACTGGAACACGCTGTTGTACACGTCAATCCAGGGCATCCCAAACATGCTCAATGGGTGACATGTCTGGTGAGTATGCAGGCCAACATTTTCAGCTTCCAGGAATTGTGTACAGATGCTTGCGACATGGGGCCATGCATTATCACGCTGAAACATGAGGTGATGGCGGCGGATGAATGGCACGACAATGGGCCTCAGGATCTCATCACGGTATATCTGTGCGTTCAAATTGCCATTGATAAAATACAACTGTGTTCGTTGTCCGTAGCGTATGCCTGCCCATACCATAACCCCACCGCCACCATGGGGCACTCTGTTCACAACGTTGACATCAGCAAACCGCTTGCCCACATGACCCCGGTGAGGACAATGAGCACGCAGATGAGCTTCCCTGAGACGGTTTCTGACAGTTTGTGAAGAAATTCTTCAGTTGTGCAAACCTGGTCTGCCATCTGCCCAGTGCAGTTGAAACTGGGATTCAACCATGAACCAGCGTTTAAGTGGCCATTGAAGGTAAGCATTTGCACACTGAAGTCGATTATGACGCCGAACTGCAGTCAGGTCAAGACCCCGGTGAGGACAATGAGCACGCAGATGAGCTTCCCTGAGACGGTTTCTGACAGTTTGTGAAGAAATTCTTCAGTTGTGCAAACCTGGTCTCAGACGATCCCGCAGGTGAAGAAGCCGGATGTGGAGGTCCTGGGCTGGCGTGATTACACGTGGTCTGCAGTTGTGACGCCGGTTGGACATACTGCCAAATTCTCTAAAACAACGTTGGAGGCGGCTTATGGTAGAGAAATGAACATTAACTTATCTGGCAACAGCTCTGGTGGACATTCCTGCAGTCAGCATGCCAATTGCACTCTCCCTTAAAACTTTTGTTGTGTGACAAAACTGCACATTTGTGACTCGTTTCAGGAAACTAGACATATGTCACAGGTCACTACTTCACAGGAGACCCATTTGAATGTAAACTTTTTTATTTATTTATTAAAATGCGTTTTTTTTGGCAGAAATGCCTTCTGGAACATGTGAACTTTCATGTACCTTAATAACAAACTTGTATGCCATCTGTAAATACTAATAACATTGTTAAATTACGAGCCTAGTTGGTTAAGCCACAGGAAAATACAGCAACCTTCCTACTAGCCATGATTGGCTGAGATAATGAGTGGGCTGGACATGCCGAGAGAGGAGTTCGGATTGGTCTGCCATATAGAAGGCTTCTGTCTATTTGAGCTGGTCAGTATGTGTAGGTAATCCTGTCTAACGCAGCTTTTTTTAATGTATCGTGTGATAGCTAAAGAGATGGAGAAAACACCTGTCTCCGGATTACATCTTCAAACTAAGGGCAACCATGCATGGCATCCGTGACAGGGAGACACGTCCATCATGCATGATGATGTATACATGTAAGATAGTCTAGCTAGCTACATTTTCAGATATTACACGTTTCTAATTTTGACAGAAAGTGGTTTCATTTCAAGTTAAAGTGTACTAACGTTAGCTGGCTGGCTGGCTCGCTAGCTAACATTACGTGTATGATGTTATTATTCGTATCTCAGAGCCGTTTGCTTGGCTAGTTAGACTAGAGCCTAAAGTTAGCTAACTGGCTGGCTCGCAAGCTAACGTTATGTGCATGATGTTATTATTCATATATCTCAGAGCTGTTTGCTTGGATAGTTAGAGCCTAATGTTAGCTAGCTAACATTGAACCTGGTTGGGTAGCTACCACTACCAGCAGATTCATGCGAGGGTAGTAACGTCATGTTTTGGCACTTTGGTTCAATGTTTAACTAGCTAACGTTAGCTGGCTGGCTCGCTAGCTAACGTTACGTATATGATGTTATTATTCGTATCTCAGAGCTGGTTGCTTAGAATGAATTTACAAATGCACAACACCCGTTGAATATGGCCGGTGTCAGTAAACTTCGGCAAAAAAGCGTAATTAAATTGTTGCCAGCAGAGCTGGTTAGGCTGTTTTCATGTTATCCAGAGGTAAACAATGAACCATAATCCCAATTTTGTATCTGAAAGGAAATAGCAAGCTAGCCAATGTTAGCCAGTTAGCTTGGGTGCTTTACTGCCGCTGTGAGGTCAGAACGCTCGGATCAACCCTACTCATCGGCCAGAGCGTCAAGTCTGCACTCTGAACGCTCTGAGAGCAAAACAAGATGGGTGGGGCTAAAGCTTAAGAGGGTGTGAACGATGCTGAATGGGTGTAGACAAAGAAGAGCTCTTCACTAGGTACCAAAACATTCAAAGGCCATTTTCTCAAAAGTGAGATTACAAGTTTATCAACTTTCAAAGCAGAATTACTTTCCAATTGTTCCCTTAAATGCAATGTATGATATACCATTTTGTAGCTCGGTGTCTATGCTTTTATCCAATGTAAAAAACACAATTTCAAATTTTGCTACATAAGACCGAATCAAGGTGGTCAGTCACATTTTAGAGTGGCCTTTTATTGTCCCCAGCACAGGGTGCACGCACCTGTGTAATGATCATGCTGTTTAATTAGCTTCTTGATCTGCCACACCGGTCAGGTGGATGGATTATATTGAAAAAGAAAAGGAGAGCCGCACATTCTAGGAGCTCAGATGCAATAATTTAATAACCTAATAACCAACAAGCTGTCTTCACCTGGGTATGGATGAATTATCTTGGCAAATGAGAAATGCTCACTAACAGGGTTGTAAACAAAATTGTGCACAACATTTTAGAGAAATAAGCTTTTGTGCGTATGGAACATTTCAGGGATCTTTTATTTCAGCTCATGAAACATGGCACCAACACTTTACATGTTGCATTTATATTTTTGTTCAGTGTAATATCGTCCAAAATGTATATTGCGATAGTTAACTGCATCGATCCCCACCCCCCCATCATTACTATAAACTACTTAAAAACACTTTACAAACCCTTCATGAACTGCTTTTCCTTGATGTAAGGTATGAACACTTCCCCCCCCCCCAATTGATTTCCAACCAGTTTCCCTTTCCAACTATAAATAATTAATAGTCAATAAACCATTCCATGATGTAAATTGTGAACACGACTTTTCCAAAGACTGTCTGAGAGGGGAACATGAACGTCAGAGTCACACTGATACTGTTAAACACATGCCACTGACAGCTGACACTTCCTTGAGAGAGGAACGTGAACTTCAGTCACAATGATAATGTTAAACACATGCGACTGACAGCTGTGTGTGTGTGTGTGTGTGTACATACAATACCGCATCACACCCACGTAGTAAACACACTCTTTCATTAGCATACACACACACACAGTTATGGTCCTATGGCTTTTTAAACACTGGAATGTATTCCAACAAAGTATGGATTGATATGGCCGCCAGCAAACATTGAATGCTACGATCTCTCTTTTATGTTTATAGGGTTTATATTATAATCAAATCAGTCATTTACAGCTATACTGTTTGAAGTTGATCTTTTTTTAGAACATAAAATGTTATTTCAGAATATTTATTAGTTAGCTGGCTAAAGCATTGAACTTGCATTGTGAAATTCTCCATGGCTCTGTATACCTTCCATACCAGGTTATGTGGGCGCTCAGATCAGATATTACACACAAACAAACCGCATGCATTAATTATTTATGCAAAACAATCACCTACACAGAAACGACATTGTTTGGTACGCAGTCATGCGAGAGAACTATACACACGGTCCACTTGTTCTCCTTTAAACCTCTCTCTTTGTCCAGAGGGGTATCCTACGAAGCAAGCTAGATCTACTCAGGGTTTTGAAAAACTAACCAGCTTCAGTTAGCTTCACATTCCAGCTCAGGCTTTATCCGTACTACGACGGTGGATGTTGCTCATCCGCCTACAGCCAACTCTAGCAGGCTTGTAACTGCGCATGCATGTCACACATGGCTAGTCGAACGCTGAAGTCTGCATTGAAGACAATGGTGAAACATCAATCCATGGCCAAGTCAGTGACATTTTAATTTGTGCCGAAATCGAAACAAAAACAAAAAACACAAAATCGTGCAAATTCAGCAGGCTATGGTGTGAAATAAGCTTTTAGAAGTGCCGTCTAGCTAAAATGTCCAGAAATGACCACTCAAAACCCGCCCACAATGCCTGAAAACTAGCCTAAAATATTTTAACTGCTATGATTGGAAATGCTATGATTGGAAATGCGCATATGCATAACTATAGATAAATCCGAAAGGAGAGTTTGAGGGATGAAAGCTGGACAGAGGATCTCGAAATCTCTGTGCAAGAAACACTTGTACGAACTTCAAAAAACGAATGTTAGGCTATTTATGTTCAGGCATTTGTGCCGTTATTATGTGCCAGATGTTAAGACTGCAAACCTGCAAACCGTTATAAATGAATTGACATGTCATTTCAATAAGCATTGGCTAGGCCAACTGACTAAAATCTGGGTTTATGATTGTAATTTAATTTTGCCATGGTTTGGTTAGCTAGAACTAGATGCAGGTAGCATATAGCCCCTGATAGGCCTACATCTAATTTCAGATAGCCTACAGTAATTTAGGCAAGATGTAAAATGAACGATTTAGCAACTTGCATAGTTCAAATTGACAGATTAATTTATTCAACATGAATAGCGAGGCGATTTCGAGGTAAGAAGTGCTGCTGTTGCCCAATAGCCTGCTGGAATAGGCTACTGAGGACACTGAGGGTCGTAATTTCAATCACTGAATCATATATTAATAATATGGATGTTTAAAAAAAAACCTGTAGCCTAATCTGACTGACTGTTACCTTCAATCTAATGCATTCTGACTACAGCTGATCGGCAATTGCGATAGAACTGTGACCATGATCACAATTGATAACTTTCAATTTCATTAACTAAACATGGCCATTAATAATTGCATAACAACACAAGGGTACAACAACAATAAACTGAAGTTATAGGCTATTTATTAAATCTGTTTGCCAGCTCCAAGTAGGCTACACAAGTAGCACAAATTGATTTGCAATGGCTCCAGTGATATCTTTTCAACATATTTATTGTAAAGTATTTTATTTTATTGTAAAAGTATTTATTGCTAAAGTAGCCTACAATAGCATATAAATTAATAGCCTACTTGATGGCCAACAGATACAAATGTATCATTCTCCACATTTAATGTCAGTTTCATGGTGCACTTTTCAGAAGCACGCAAGGGAGTTCCATAACGTCCATTTAAAATTTCCACTCGCACAGCACAGGGCTCAAGACCCAAGAACTGAGCATGCCTACAACCCTTGCTTGATATGGTTTTCCATAAGCAAAGTCGACATTAGAATTAAGCAATAAGGCCCGAGGGGGGTTAAGGGCTGTTCTTATGCAGGATGCACCGCAGTGCCTGGATACAGCCCTTAGCCGTGGTATATTGGCAATATACCACAAACACCCGAGGTGCCTTATTGCTATTATAAACTGGTTACCAACTTAATAAGAGCAGTAAAAATAATTGTTTGTATGGTCTAATATACCACATCATTCAGCCAATCAGCTTTCAGAGCTCGAACCACCCAGTTTATAATGCAGTTTAAACCACCTCCTAGCTAATGTATCTAATGCGCTCTAGAGCACCTAAAGTCGTTTTCCTGTGCTTTGTCGCTGTTATTTTTTTCACATCAGTTCTAGCACCTTAATATGGAAAAAGGGTTGGAAATACATTAGGTTGTCTCCGTAATGACAATCTAACCTACAACTGGTAAAAAGTTGACACGACAAGCGCGCGTGCTGCTCTGTCTCCTCTCACTCAAGTCACTCAGCTGCAGTGCTCAATGTCAACACACACATGCCTCTTGCCCTCCCCTCCCCACCACTCACTCACTAAGCAACAGGCTGCCTCACTGCCTGATAGTCAGCAGCAGCAGGTCACTGTGAAATATATATTTTAAAGGAAAATGTCAGGGCGGCCGCGGTGCAATTTAGGAGTAGCGCAAAAACCTGCAACCAATACATTTTCACCCACAACATCGTTTTCAAAGTAGCCCAATTTGCAGCAAACCCGCGGACATGGCAACCCTGTACAAAAGTGTTGCTGTGCATTAAGTTTAAAATGCAGTCTGTTATATTTAATCAGTCGTCTTCCTCAAATGAAGGGGAAAGTGATGCGATCTTTGCAAGAGGGTGGGAATCTGATTTAATTGGTCCTCAACTCGCAGCTAAATCATTTCATTCAGGGGAAGTGGAGTTAGCCTTGAGTTAGCCTGCCCCGGAGCAGGTTAGATCTGAAGGATTCGTTGCCATAGATAAAAGGTGAGCCACTTTCGTATTACCGGTTATCCCGAGTTGAACTCAGTTGACCAAAGTTACCTCGCTCACTCCTCAACCTGCTGCCATAGTTTTTTTTTTTTTTTTTTTTTTTTGGTACTTTTACCCCTTTTTCTCCCCAATTGGTAGTTACAGTCTTGTCCCATCGCTGCAACTCCCCTACGGACTCAGGAGAGGCGAAGGTCGAGAGCCATGCGTCCTCCGAAACACGACCCTGCCAAGCCACACTGCTTCTTGACACACTGCTCGCTTAACCCGGAAGCCAGCTGCATCAATGTGTCGGAGGAAACACCGTCCAGCTGGCAACTGAAGTCAGCTTGCAGGTGCCCGGCCTGCCACAGGGAGTCTCTAGAGCGCGATGGGACAAGGAAATCCCGGCCGGCCAAACCCTCCCCTAACCCGGACGGCGCTGGGCCAATTGTGCGCCGCCTCATGGGTCTCCCGGCAAGCTGTGACACAGCCTGGGATCGAACCCAGGTCTGTAGTGATGCAGTGCCTTAGACCGCTGCACCACTCGGGAGGCCCTACCTTTCTATTTCTAACTTCTTTCCTACTGACTACTGGTACACACCTGAAGGGGTTTACTCTACTGTTTAATTCCCACCACCACCAGCTACAGTAGTTTGCTGCTTCATCACAGTAATATCATGTCATATGAAAGAATGCCAAGGTTTTCAGTTTCACATACTGTAAAAAATATTAAATGAAACTATAAATACTGCAGGAAATACAGCCCCACCTCTCGCTCTGCATGACTTGCACTATAACCTCTGTAAATCACACTTGACACTCTAAATTTAACACGATACGCAAAGACCCTCAGACACTGTTTCTCACACAGACAGTACACAGACAGTACACAGACAGTACACAGACAGTACACAGACAACAGGCAGAACTGTAACGGTTCCGAGAGTAACATTGCAGCTGCTTTCCCTCCAATCTCTCCTTATTCCGCTACACAGCAATATCTCTTCTTTACACCCCTTCCTTTGGTCTCTGACACCCTCAGTCTCTCTCCCTCTTTCATTCCTCGCTCTATCACTGATTTTCTGGGACATTATTGTCACAAAACAAAAGCACTGTACGGCATTGTATTTCAACACAAACATGTTGCACTCAATTGCATTTGCATCTTTGAAGACTTATCATCTGACAAGGATTCAAATATCTTCATGCAATAACATACAACATGGAAAAACACTATCTCATTCACACAATTACAAGAAAAGCTTTTCAGAAAAGCTAAGGAACACTTGCTTAAAATAGAAACATTGAACACCTGCCGATATAAACTCACATCAACGTTCATTCAACTAATCTGTCTCTCTCAACTCACCATAGTGTCTGCAGTGACCAAGTGGCAACCTGGAAATGACAGAAAGAGGAAGAAAGTGAGAGGGGTAAGGAAAGAGAGAGGGAGGGAGCAGGCTGGAAAGGGTCAGAGGAGGGTTCAGAGGAGGGAGGGAGGGGTCAGAGGAGGGAGTGGTCAGAAAGAAGAAAAGTGCAGCATGCAGATAGCAGAGAAGAAGAGTACAAGTAAAAACATAACAAATGACATGCTATGTAATCTCTTGTAAAAAGTAATATCTTGTAAAAGGCCCATTTGAGCCTAATACATTTAAGTTGTAACATTATTAGTACGCTGACCGATATTGACTTTGTAAAAACCAACACATTGTGAGCACCCGGCACTTCCATTGACCTTGGAGATCACAGGAATGCCAACCTGTTGTTCTATTATAATAACACATACTTCTTGGCGTAGTCTGCAAATGGGCATCCATTTTTCACTTGGTTTACCGTTTTCCAACGTTCAATCCTTTTCTGTAATTGAAATTCAATACAACTTGACTCTCTGATACGACGCTGTTATCGTTGGCCTTTATGTCTGAACTTTGCCAATGTAAACAGACGGAGTAGATTGCAGGTCTCCAGGACGGGCGTTGATTGGCAGGGGATCTAAGGAGCCAGGCTGTACCTCTGCACCAGCTGACAGGCTCTACAGGTGAGTGTCGACTAAGGGACGTTCCCCTACCTTATCAGGTGCCATGCAGGTATAGGACAGGTATAGGGCACATTTTAACAGTCCGACACTATCAGTCGGTCTCACTACTTCACACACACGTTGTACCAGCCAGCTTCTCTGGCTATCTGACCACTGGGATGGTCAAGGGCTGGCCTCTTAGATTTTCTGAAACACACAACCCAGACAAAAGTAATGTTATCAGAAGTAATCAACCTTTATAAAACCTGATGAGTGATGGGAACATGGTGTGTACGTTTACTGTTGTTGAGTCACTAACCTTGTTCACTGGACACTTCCTGGCTATGCACAATTAGCCTGGGGAAGAGGTTACAGGGTCACTCTCTCGCACACACACATTTTAATATGCTCTGATGAAGGTCGACTGACCGAAAGCTTAGCCTCTATTACAATACAGTGTGCAGAGACTTTTTCCTGTTTCTCCAACTGGCCTGAATAACAAGTGCGCAGAAGGACTTAAAGGAGCAATTAGGGTTAGGTGCCTGTTAACCGCTAGGCTACCGGTCAAAACACATCTGCTATCTATTGAAATCAAGAGGCTCTTAAGACAAATCACATTCTGTTAGTAGGATTTCACATTTTATTAAAGCAGTATAAAAATAACATCTGATTGTTTTACTGTACAGATATCCAGCACATAATATTATTAAAAACACATTTGAACATCACATATTTTCATAAAAACATTTTAAATGTACATGGTAGGTCTTCTGAGTAAACCTAGTTAAATCATTTGGAAGTCTTTTTTTGTGGCACTCCCGTTCTGTAGGCTCCTCACAGGGATGAAAAAGTTTCCAGCTTTAACAACAGAACAAAGCACTTATAAAAGTCTGGACACACACACGAACACAGCCTGTGTTAGGGCAAGAGTCCTCACCGTGGGGGCAGGTGATGTTCCAGCAGGTGTGTTGCTCTGAGGTGTAAAGTCTCCTGGCTGTTATACTGGGTGGCTTCCAGCAGGGGGAGCCCACTCTGCCTCACAAACTCCTCCGCCAGCTGAGAAGAAGAAACTGCTTCATTTTACATATACATTTTAGTCATTTAGCAGACGCTCTTATCCAGAGCGACTTACAGTTAGTGAGTGCATACATTTTTCATACTGGCCCCCCGTGGGAATCGAACCCACAATCAAAGTAATCCTCAGCCTTTGTGCTATGGTTGCTTTTTACAACATCTTTATGCCTTTGTTTTTAATGTTTAATTGCATGGCAGGCAGCCATCTTTAGTGTGGTGGAGGGGTTAAGTTGGTAGTGTTGTGTCGAGCAAACGTTGCTAATCATGCTGTGTGACCAAGGAGAACCGCTGACGCTGTATTTTCATCATAAAGGTTTATTCATAACAAAGGGTTACAGCGTCGATTTACAGATACCTGCAGATACCTGGAGAATAATCGCCCCATCTCAAATCTGATTATTCTGTCGTCCTTTGTCCCAACTGTGGTATACAGTGGGGAAAAAAAGTATTTAGTCAGCCACCAATTGTGCATGTTCTCCCACTTAAAAAGATGAGAGAGGCCTGTAATTCTCATCATAGGTACACGTCAACTATGACAGACAAAATGAGGAAAAAAAATCCAGAAAATCACATTGTAGGATTTTTTATGAATTTATTTGCAAATTATGGTGGAAAATAAGTATTTGGTCAATAACAAAAGTTTCTCAATACTTTGTTATATACCCTTTGTTGGCAATGACACAGGTCAAACGTTTTCTGTAAGTCTTCACAAGGTTTTCACACGCTGTTGCTGGTATTTTGGCCCATTCCTCCATGCAGATCTCCTCTAGAGCAGTGATGTTTTGGGGCTGTAGCTGGGCAACACAGACTTTCAACTCCCTCCAAAGATTTTCTATGGGGTTGAGATCTGGAGACTGGCTAGGCCACTCCAGGACCTTGAAATGCTTCTTACGAAGCCACTCCTTCGTTGCCCGGGCGGTGTGTTTGGGATCATTGTCATGCTGAAAGACCCAGCCACGTTTCATCTTCAATGCCCTTGCTGATGGAAGGAGGTTTTCACTCAAAATCTCACGATACATGGCCCCATTCATTCTTTCCTTTACACGGATCAGTCGTCCTGGTCCCTTTGCAGAAAAACAGCCCCAAAGCATGATGTTTCCACCCCCATGCTTCACAGTAGGTATGGTGTTCTTTGGATGCAACTCAGCATTCTTTGTCCTCCAAACACGACGAGTTGAGTTTTTACCAAAAAGTTCTAGTTTGGTTTCATCTGACCATATGACATTCTCCCAATCCTCTTCTGGATCATCCAAATGCACTGTAGCAAACTTCAGACGGGCCTGGACATGTACTGGCTTAAGCAGGGGGACACTCAGGATTTGAGTCCCTGGCGGCGTAGTGTGTTACTGATGGTAGGCTTTGTTACTTTGGTCCCAGCTCTCTGCAGGTCATTCACTAGGTCCCCCCGTGTGGTTCTGGGATTTTTGCTCACCGTTCTTGTGATCATTTTGACCCCACGGTGTGAGATCTTGCGTGGAGCCCCAGATCGAGGGAGATTATCAGTGGTCTTGTATGTCTTCCATTTCCTAATAATTGCTCCCACAGTTGATTTCTTCAAACCAAGCTGCTTACCTATTGCAGATTCAGTCTTCCCAGCCTGGTGCAGGTCTACAATTTTGTTTCTGGTGTCCTTTGACAGCTCTTTGGTCTTGGCCATAGTGGAGTTTGGAGTGTGACTGTTTGAGGTTGTGGACAGGTGTCTTTTATACTGATAACAAGTTCAAACAGGTGCCATTAATACAGGTAACGAGTGGAGGACAGAGGAGCCTCTTAAAGAGGAAGTTACAGGTCTGTGAGAGCCAGAAATCTTGCTTGTTTGTAGGTGACCAAATACTTATTTTCCACCATAATTTGCAAATAAATTCATTAAAAATCCTACAATGTGATTTTCTGGAAAAAAAAATCTACATTTGTCTGTCATAGTTGACGTGTACCTATGATGAAAATTACAGGCCTCTCTCATCTTTTTAAGTGGGAGAATTTGCACAATTGGTGGCTGACTAAATACTTTTTTTCCCCACTGTATATCCTATGTAATCTGATATGGGTGTTCCCCTACAGACCAATCACCTGTCTCCACACAACAGACTTCCTCTGTTCTATGGTGTGTCCCCACAAAACTACTTCTTCTAAGCTGAATAAACCTCCTCTCAGGTTCCATTTGAAAATGTTAGCAAAGTCATAATTCCTCAGATACTACAGTAGCCTTCCCTATCTGTGGGTCACTGGCCACCAGCTGGTCCAGCACCTCCAGACTGAAAGTCACCACCTCAGGGTCTGCCATCTTGAGTGTGGTGCAGAGAGCAGGCAGTAGGCCAGCCTGAACCAGGTGGAGAGTCACCACCTCAGGGTCGGCCATCTTGAGTGTGGTGCAGAGAGCAGGCAGTAGGCCAGCCTGAACCAGGTGGAGAGTCACCACCTCAGGGTCGGCCATCTTGAGTGTGGTGCAGAGAGCAGGCAGTAGGCCAGCCTGAACCAGGTGGAGAGTCACCACCTCAGGGTCGGCCATCTTGAGTGTGGTGCAGAGAGCAGGCGGTAGGCCAGCCTGAACCAGGTGGAGAGTCACCACCTCAGGGTCGGCCATCTTGAGTGTGGCGCAGAGAGCAGGCAGTAGGCCAGAATGAGCCAGGTGGAGACAGTACTCTCTCCCCTGATGGGCAATGTTACCCAGAACCCTTAGCACCTGGTGGGGTGGGGAGAACGATTATCATTCAATCTCATTATCAAATCCTTTCCCTAACCAAACTGAGTCAAAGTGCTGACGCCCATAGTGTATTGCCGGGTGGATGGTGAAGCATAGTGCTGGACACATCAAAGTTGAATGAGCCAAATAATACTGAAAATATGTATTAACAGTAAGTCGTAAGTCAACTTGGCTTGATAACAATGTTACTAGTATGAACTGAAGCGTCAGAGCACTGACCATGATGTTGATAGCGGGGAGAATGGTAGGAGCTGGATCCGAGCAGGAACCAGATTCACATAGAACAGGGCAGAACAGAACACACTGGAGTCAGCTGCTGCAGCCGATGGATGGAGTGAGCGAGATAAAGAGAGAGAGAGACTTCCACCATGAAAAAGTCAGGTGAAGCAAGCACACACATTTTCTTCATGGAATGTACCTTCTCATCAGAACCTTTGAAAATAGAGAGAGAAAGAGGTAGAGATGTAGATTATGACAGTACAGTGAGGGAAAAAAGTATTTGATCCCCTGCTGATTTTGTACAATTGCCCACTGACAAAGAAATGATCAGTCTATAATTTTAATGGTAGGTTTATTTGGAGAGTGAGAGACAGAATAACAACAAAATCATCCAGAAAAACGCATGTCAACAATGTTATAAATTGATTTGCATTTTAATGAGGGAAATAAGTATTTGACCCCCTCTCAATCAGAAAGATTTCTGGCTCCCAGGTGTCTTTTATACAGGTAACGAGCTGAGATTAGGAGCATACTCTTAAAGGGAGTGCTCCTAATCTCAGCTTGTTACCTGTATAAAAGACACCTGTCCACAGAAGCAATCAATCAATCAGATTCCAAACTCTCCACCATGGCCAAGACCAAAGAGCTCTCCAAGGATGTCAGGGACAAGACTGTAGACATACACAAGGCTGGAATGGGCTACAAGACCATCGCCAAGCAGCTTGGTGAGAAGGTGACAACAGTTGGTGCGATTATTCGCAAATGGAAGAAGCACAAAATAACTGTCAATCTCCCTCGGCCTGGGGCTCCATGCAAGATCTCACCTCGTGGAGTTGCAATGATCATGAGAACGGTGAAGAATCAGCCCAGAACTACACGGGAGGATCTTGTCAATGATCTCAAGGCAGCTAGGACCATAGTCACCAAGAAAACAATTGGTAACACACTACGCCGTGAAGGACTGAAATCCTGCAGTGCCCGGAAGGTCCCCCTGCTCAAGAAAGCACATATACAGGCCTGTCTGAAGTTTGCCAATGAACATCTGAATGATTCAGAGGAGAACTGGGTGAAAGTGTTGTGGTCAGATGAGACCAAAATCGAGCTCTTTGGCATCAACTCAACTCGCCGTGTTTGGAGGAGGAGGAATGCTGCCTATGACCCCAAGAACACCATCCCCACCGTCAAACATGGAGGTGGAAACATTATGCTTTGGGGGTGTTTTTCTGCTAAGGGGACAGGATAACTTCACCGCATCAAAGGGACAATGGACGGGGCCATGTACCGTCAAATCTTGGGTGAGAACCTCCTTCCCTCAGCCAGGGCATTGAAAATGGGTCGTGGATGGGTATTCCAGCATGACAATGACCCAAAACACACGGCCAAGGCCACAAAGGAGTGGCTCAAGAAGAAGCACATTAAGGTCCTAGCCAGTCTCCAGACCTTAATCCCATAGAAAATCCCAAACGTCAGCCTCGAAACCTTAATGACTTGGAGAAGATCTGCAAAGAGGAGTAGGACAAAATCCCTCCTGAGATGTGTGCAAACCTGGTGGCCAACTACAAGAAACGTCTGACCTCTGTGATTGCCAACAAGGGTTTTGCCACAAAGTACTAAGTCATGTTTTGCAGAGGGGTCAAAACTTATTTCCCTCATTAAAATGCAAATCTATTTATAACATTTTTGATATGCGTTTTTCTGGATTTTGTTGTTGTTATTCTGTCTCTCACTGTTCAAATAAACCTACCATTAAAATTATAGACTGATCATTTCTTTGTCAGTGGGCAAACGTACAAAATCAGCAGGTGATCAAAAACTTTTTTCCCTCACTGTATCTAATTTTTTTTTTTTAAACATTTTAGTCATTTAGCAGACGCTCTTATCCAGAGCGACTTACAATTAGTGAGTGCATACATTTTTCATACTGCCCCCCCGTGGGCATCGAAACCACAACCCTTACGTTGCAAGCGTCATGCTCTACCAACTGAGCTACATATCAATTCATTTCATCAAATGGATTCCTTGCGTTCTGGTGCAGTTGGTGTATGTCTATCAGCCACACAGTTACAACACATGTTCTTGTATTGTTTGATTGAAAGAGTAATTTCCAAAGCATTTGGATTCAGCGACTACTCATCAGCTCCATTCCCTCCTCTATACTCCCTTTAGCAACAGCACCACCAAGTGTCACCAGGAGGGAAGTGCACTGTGTGCATTGCTATTGACAAGAGAGCAACAAACACTATGAATCACAGAGTTCCACCACATCCAGTATAACAGTAATATATCCATGGCAACAATACATAGTAGCTGGCCCTCCTGAATGACATGTTACACCCAGGTTAAGGTGTTATAGTGTTCGTCCCCAAACGGCACCCTATTCCCTACAGTTGTGTTTTTATCGTATGTCTGTAAATAGCCTGTAAATACCCTATTTTTCGTAGATATTTCCCTATCAGACTTTTCATCCTTCTACAAGATATACTTTCCTGCAACCCGCCTCACTCAATGTGGAACGGATTCTATTATTGACTTACCTTTATCTAGAATCTAGAATCTCCAGTTGAAACTAGCTAGCCAGCTAACTAGCTACTTGCTATTAGCCACAGCTAGCGGTGTTTCACCCAGAACATTGGATTTTTTCCCGCGGGATTAATTTTAATCACTGGACATTGATCACCGGATATTCGGCCAGTCTGCACAGCGCGTTATCGACCCAGAGCCAGAACATATCAGTTTTTCCGCCGGAATCACTGAATCACTGGACCTTTAACTCCGGATTCATCGCTACCAGCTGGCTACAACAAAACGGACGCTGTGGTCTGGCTAATCATCCTGAGCTAGGCCCATCTCCCGGCTATCTACCTCTCTGTCAACCGGACGGGACCACCTAGTGTTGACACGGAGCCCCGCCGATCCTACACGACTGGTCTGCCGACGAAATCGTCTGATGTGGTTACGACGTTAACCACGAAGATTCCATCCATCTGCTAGCCCTGGCCCGCTAGCACACGCTAGCCGTGGCCTCTTACTCACTAGTGCTTCACCACCGGACCTTATGATAACTCAGCTATACAGCTGATATCTGCTGGACTGTTCCTTTTTACGGTACTACATCCTGTTTATGTTTAGCCTCAGCCCAAACATGGTTAGTTTATTGTTGTTTCGGTTATTTCTAATTGTACTATATCACTGTAGACCCCCCAGCCTAGCTAAACCTGCCTTAGATAGCTCCTTTGCCCCTCCCCCTATACACGCGGAGACCGACTCAATTGATGCCTCCAGCGATGCTATCTCTTTCATTGTTACCCAACGCTTAGGTTTACCTCCACTTTACTCATATCCTTCCATATCCTTGTCTGTACATAATGCCCTGAATCTTTTCTATAACACCCGGAAATCTGCCCCCTTTATTCTATGTACCCAACGCACTAGAAGACCAGTTCTTAAAGCCTTTAGCCGTATCCTTATTCTAGTCCTCCTCTGTTCCTCTGGTGATGTAGAGGCTAACCCAGGCCCTGCAGCCCTCAGTATCACTCCTACTCCCCAGGCGCTATCATTTGATGACTTCTGTAATCGCAAAAGTCTTGGTTTCTTGCACATAAATATCAGAAGTCTACTTCCTAAGTTTGAGTTATTCACTGCGTTAGCACACTCTGCCAACCCTGATGTTCTAGCAGTGTCTGAATCCTGGCTCAGGAAGGCCACCAAAAATTCTGAAATTTCCATCCCCAACTATAACATTTTCCGTCTAGATAGAACTGCCAAAGGGGGTGGAGTTGCAATCTACTGTAGAGATAGCCTGCAGAGCTCTATCATACTATCCAGGTCTGTGCCCAAACAGTTTGAGCTTCTACTTCTAAAAATCCACCTTTCCAGAAATAAGTCTCTCACTGTTGCCGCTTGCTACAGACCCCCCTCAGCCCCCAGCTGTGCCCTGGACACCATATGTGAATTGATTGCCCCCCATTTATCCTCAGAGTTTGTACTGCTTGGTGACCTAAATTGGGATATGCTTAATACCCCAGCCATCCTACAATCCAAGCTAGATGCCCTCAACCTCACGCAAATTATCAACGAACCTACCAGGTACAACCCTAAATCCGTAAACATGGGTACCCTCATAGATATCATCCTGACTAACATACCCTCTAAATCAGTGGCGGCTCCTGAAAAAATTCTCAGGAGGGGCAATTTTTCTGATGATTTAGGTGACCTACACACATTTTAAAAAAGATATGTCCAGCAACAACATGAAGACAGGGGCAGCATATAAGTCAATACCAGAAGCATTTATTGACTGATCTGGGGAGATGGATTCCAGTTTCTGTGACAGATTATAAATAATCTCTGATGCCTTTGTTATATTAGCTTTTGGTTGAATGTACTGTCGTAGTAAATATATAATGTTATAGCTTGGTCTGACTAAAATCTTGTGCATGACCCATTTTGTGTTGGCCGTTTGTTTTCAATCAATGCTGTTCCTATCCTATAACAATGGACAAAAGAGTCCTATCTTGTCAGCCTTGTCAGCAGGTGGCCAAGGACAACACCCACGCCATAGGTCTCTCAGTTCTTCCAACTCACGAGTTCTTGCTCTGAGGACACACACACACACACACACACACACACACACATCATCACTGATAACACACACACACACACACATCATCACTGTTAAACACACACACACACACACACAAAAATCCCCTCTCTTTAGGCTGAACATTTGAAGACAGAGAACCCGACTCAGAGCCAATGCAACAGTGGAGGGGACCTCGCCCCAACTCATCAGGACCAATCAGAAGATCAGAACTACTAGATTCAACCTACATCATTTATTGTATAAAATGTCTGCACACAATGTTTTCGGGGCTCTCTTCAGATAGCTCCCTAAGAGTTTGACGAACGAGTCCGTGCACGCGATTCCAGATATCTTTACCTCTGAATAAACTGCCTTTATTATACCATATCCACCCTGTCCAAAGTCTCTACTTGGTCTCAGTTCTCCAGTAAACTTGTGATTATCAACAGTACACAACGGTAACAAACAATTGGGGGAACTCACGGGGCAGATAGTAAGGTCGCAGTGACACAGAAAGCAGTTCAATGTCGGGGGTACAGAGTCGCTCTCTTACCAGGATCGATTTTCCCTGTGACTGTGTCAGATCGCGGTCCGCTCTGACCAGGGTGAAGCCGGCCGGCTCCACTTCTCTGTCCGGGACTCTGTCATCCAGCCAAGTCTCCCAGCTGTATTGGATTCCGCTGCCAGCAGCGTTTTCATTATTTAGTCCGTTCGTAGCGGGTATGTACACGATCAACAAGATCAGTCCAAAACCCACCACTGGAAATCCATGGTTGGCAGAATGTTTGTAAACTAAGTGTACAAATTAAAAACATAAAATAACGCCACTAAGTGTACAAATTAAAAACATAAGATAACGCCACACTGCAGGTCGCAACAGAGACGCTGCTAGCCGCTATTTTCTTAGTTACGTTCATGGTTACGTCACGTATGACGAAAGCGCGTAAGTGCAAGCCCACAGACACCCATAGAGATTGTATTGAAAGCTTTGAAATTTGAAAAAAATAGATTTTACATGGGAGTCTATGACAGACTTCTGGGCGATTTTCAACATGACTGAAATCGCCCCAAAAACGGGCGGGGCCATTTGAAGCACGACTTTAGCCTGATTTGACATTTAGTGGCAGTCAGATCAGATTAGAACACTGATAACTACTGTTGCCGTGATATAATTGATTAGAAAAAAAATCCCTTCCTTTTCCCGTTTGGCAGTGCGTCGCCCATATCGCCCTATTGAACACACCGCCCCTGCTCTAAATACACCTCAGCTGTCTTCAACCAGGATCTCAGCGATCACTGCCTTATTGCCTGCGTCCGTAACGGGTCCGCGGTTAAACGACCACCCCTCATCACTGTCAAACGCTCCCTAAACACTTTAGCGAGGAGGCCTTCCTAATTGACCTGGCCCAGGTATCCTGGATGGATATAGATCTCATTCCGTCAGTAGAGGATGCCTGGTTGTTCCTTAAAAGTAATTTCCTCACAATCTTAAATAAACATGCCCCATTCAAAAAATACAGAACTAAGAACCGATATAGCCCCTGGTTCTCCTCAGACTTGACTGCCCTTGACCAGCACAAAAACAACCTGTGGTGTACAGCATTAGCATCAAATAGCCCCCGCGATATGCAACTTTTCAGGGAAGTTAGGAACCAATATACACAAGCAGTCAGGAAAGCAAAGTCTAACTTTTTCAAACAGAAATGTGCATCCTGTAGCACTAACTCCAAAAAGTTTTGGGACACTGTAAAGTCCATGGAGAATAAGAGCACTTCCTCCCAGCTGCCCACTGCACTGAGGCTAGGAAACACTATCACCACCGATAAATCTACAATAATCGAGAATTTCAACAAGCATTTTGCTACAGCTGGCCATGCTTTCCATCTGGCTACCACTAACCCGGCCACCAACTCTGCACCCTCTGCTGCAACTTGCCCATGCCTCCCCCGCTTCTCCTTCACACAAATTCAGACAGCTGATGTTTTGAAAGCGCTGCAAAATCTGGACCCCTACAAATCAGCTGGGCTAGACAATCTGGACCCTTTCTTTCTAAAACTAGCCGCCGAAATTGTCGCAACCCCTATTACTAGTCTGTTCAACCTCTCTTTCATAACGTCTGAGATCCCCAGAGATTGGAAAGCTGCCGCGGTCATCCCCCTCTTCAAAGGGGGTGACACTCTAGATCCAAACTGCTACAGACCTATATCCATCCTGCCCTGCCTTTCGAAAGTATTCGAAAGCCAAGTTAACAAACAGATCATCGACCATTTCGAATACCACCGTACCTTCTCCGCTATGCAATCCGGTTTCCGAGCTGGTCACGGGTGCACTTCAGCCACGCTCAAGGTCCTAAACGATATTATAACCGCGATTGATAATAGACAGTACTGTGCAGCCGTCTTCATCGACCTGGCCAAGGCTTTCGACTCTGTCAACCACCGCATTCTTATTGGCAGACTAAATAGCCTTGGTTTCTCAAATGACTGCCTCGCCTGGTTCACCAACTACTTCTCAGATAGAGTTCAGTGTGTCAAATCGGAGGGCCTGTTGTCTGGACCTATGGCAGTCTCTATGGGGGTGCCACAGGGTTCAATTCTTGGGCCGACACTTTTCTCCGTGTATATCAATGATGTCGCTCTTGCTGCTGGTGACTCTCAGATCCACCTCTACGCAGACGACACCATTTTGTATACATCTGGCCCTTCATTGGACACTGTGTTAACAAACCTCCAAACGAGCTTCAATGCCATACAACAATCCTTCAGTAGCCTTCAACTGCTCTTAAACACTAGTAAAACTAAATGCATGCTTTTCAATCGAACGCTGCTGGCACCCGCCCACCCGACTAGAATCACCACTCTCGACGGGTCTGACCTAGAGTATGTGGACAACTACAAATACCTAGGTGTCTGGTTAGACTGTAAACTCAACTTCCAGACTCACATAAAGAATCTCCAATCCAAAGTTAAATCTAGAATCGGCTTCCTATTTCGCAACAAAGCCTCCTTCACTCATGCTGCCAAACATGCCCTCGTAAAACTGACTATCCTACCGATCCTTGACTTCGGCGATGTCATTTACAAAATAGCCTCCAACACTCTACTCAGCAAATTGGATGTAGTCTATCACAGTGCCATCCGTTTTGTCTCCAAAGCCCCATACACTACCCACCACTGTGACCTGTACGCTCTTGTTGGCTGGTCCTCACTACATGTTCGTCGTCAAACCCACTGGCTCCAGGCCATCTATAAATCACTGCTAGGCAAATCCCCGCCTTATCTTAGCTCATTGGTCACCATAGCAGCACCCACCCGTAGTCTGCGCTCCAGCAGGTATATCTCACTGGTCATTCCCAAAGCCAACACCTCCTTTGGCCGCCATTCCTTCCAGTTCTCTGCTGCCAATGACTGGAACGAATTGCAAAAATCTCTGAAGCTGGAGACTCTTATCTCCCTCAATAACTTTAAGCATCAGTTGTCAGAGCACCTTACCGATCACTGCACCTGTACACAGCCCATCTGAAATTAGCCCACCCAACTACCTCATCCCTATATTGTTATTTATTTTGCTCTTTTGCACCCCAGTATCTCTATTTGCACATACCGGTAATCTCTTGCACATCTAGCATTCCAGTGTTAATACTATTGTAATTATTCTGCACTATAGCCTATTTATTGCCTTACCTCCATAACTTGCTACATTTGCACACACTGTATATATATTTTCTGTTGTATTTCTGACTTTATGTTTTTTTACCCCATATGTAACTCTGTGTTGTTTTTATTGCACTACTTTGCTTTATCTTGGCCAGGTCGCAGTTGTAAATGAGAACCTGTTCTCAACTGGCTTACCTGGTTAAATAAAGGTGAAAAAAAAAAAAAAAAATATATATATATATTACACTAGTTTTGACAAGGGCCATAGGGCTCAGGTCAAAAGAAGTGCACTATATGGGGAATAGGGTGCCATTTGGGACGCACCCTGAGTCTAAGGTGAAGTGTCTCACCTGCAGGCCAGGTAGTGCAGACACCAGGCACACTCGATGGCTGGTCCCAAGCCAAACTGGGGGTCAGGGGTCAACACTTAGAGGAGGTGACGGATCAAACCAGACGCCAAGACCACCTTACAGACAAACAGACAGACAGACAGGAGAGCATAACACTGACTATGCAGGGATCTCTCAATGGCGTCTCTGAAAGGTGTCTAATGACGTTTCTATAATATAGTATATTATTATCTCCAAGATAAGGCCATAATGTTAACTTACGGGATGCTTGTCCCTGCTGCGTGGTTCGCTGTGACGAGCTGGGAGAGACAATGGCAGTGGCAGGTGGAACTGTGGGACTGACTGTGAATTTGGGGCTCTGTCCAGACAGGTAGATGATGAGGTAGCGTGTGGCCTGTCGGAGCCTCCAGGAGTCCATCTCATGGTGGGGAGAGTGGGACAGCTTGTGGAGACAGCGTGCCCTCCAGGAGTCCACCTCGCGGTGGGGGGAGTGGGACAGCTCGTGGAGACAGCATGTAGCCTCCAGATGCCACTAAGGGTTGGGCCCACTGAAGTTGGTCACCAGGACCGCAATACTGCTCTGCTGCCTGAACACAGATAGGACAGACAGAGACAAGGAATATCACCTACTGATATATACACACACACACACACACACACACACACACACACACACACACACACACACACGTACACACAGATATAGAGAGATACATACAGATAGAGAAAGACCCTCATACAGTGGGGGGAAAAAGTATTTAGTCAGCCACCAATTGTGCAAGTTCTCCCACTTAAAAAGATGAGAGAGGCCTGTAATTTTCATCATAGGTACACGTCAACAATGACAGACAAAATGAGGAAAAAAAATCCAGAAAATCACATTGTAGGACTTTTAATGAATTTATTTGCAAATTATGGTGGAAAATAAGTATTTGGTCAATAACAAAAGTTTCTCAATACTTTGTTATATACCCTTTGTTGGCAATGACACAGGTCAAACGTTTTCTGTAAGTCTTCACAAGGTTTTCACACAGTGTTGCTGGTATTTTGGCCCATTCCTCCATGCAGATCTCCTCTAGAGCAGTGATGTTTTGGGGCTGTCGCTGGGCAACACGGACTTTCAACTCCCTCCAAAGATTTTCTATGGGGTTGAGATCTGGAGACTGGCTAGGCCACTCCAGGACCTTGAAATGCTTCTTACGAAGCCACTCCTTCGTTGCCCGGGCGGTGTGTTTGGGATCATTGTCATGCTGAAAGACCCAGCCACGTTTCATCTTCAATGCCCTTGCTGATGGAAGGAGGTTTTCACTCAAAATCTCACGATACATGGCCCCATTCATTCTTTCCTTTACACGGATCAGTCGTCCTGGTCCCTTTGCAGAAAAACAGCCCCAAAGCATGATGTTTCCACCCACATGCTTCACAGTAGGTATGGTGTTCTTTGGATGCAACTCAGCATTCTTTGTCCTCCAAACACGACGAGTTGAGTTTTTACCAAAAAGTTCTATTTTGGTTTCATCTGACCATATGACATTCTCCCAATCCTCTTCTGGATCATCCAAATGCACTCTAGCAAACTTCAGACGGGCCTGGACATGTACTGGCTAAAGCAGGGGGACACGTCTGGCACTGCAGGATTTGAGTCCCTGGCGGCGTAGTGTGTTACTGATGGTAGGCTTTGTTACTTTGGTCCCAGCTCTCTGCAGGTCATTCACTAGGTCCCCCCGTTTGGTTCTGGGATTTTTGCTCACCGTTCTTGTGATCATTTTGACCCCACGGGGTGAGATCTTGCGTGGAGCCCCAGATCGAGGGAGATTATCAGTGGTCTTGTATGTCTTCCATTTCCTAATAATTGCTCCCACAGTTGATTTCTTCAAACCAAGCTGCTTACCTATTGCAGATTCAGTCTTCCCAGCCTGGTGCAGGTCTACAATTGTGTTTCTGGTGTCCTTTGACAGCTCTTTGGTCTTGGCCATAGTGGAGTTTGGAGTGTGACTGTTTGAGGTTGTGGACAGGTGTCTTTTATACTGATAACAAGTTCAAACAGGTGCCATTAATACAGGTAACGAGTGGAGGACAGAGGAGCCTCTTAAAGAAGAAGTTACAGGTCTGTGAGAGCCAGAAATCTTGCTTGTTTGTAGGTGACCAAATGCTTATTTTCCACCATAATTTGCAAATAAATTCATAAAAAATCCTACAATGTGATTTTCTGGAGAATTTTTTTTTTAATTTGTCTGTCATAGTTGACGTGTACCTATGATGAAAATTACAGGCCTCTCTCATCTTTTTAAGTGGGAGAACTTGCACAATTGGTGGCTGACTAAATACTTTTTTTCCCCACTGTACATGATGAGGGTGAGGTGGGCTGAGGAGGGCTTTCCTCAGAGCTCTCAGGTGAACCTCTTTTTCCAGCATCTTGAACAGGTCCACCAACTAGGGAAGAGAAGGCAGAACAACTGTCTCAAGATAGAGAGAACTCAGAATCCTTCAGCTGACAGTTGCTGTACTTCTCTGCTGGGTTACTGACTAGAATGTTCGTCTCCGACACGTGGTTGTTATATGAGAGCACAATACCTGATCGCTGTTTCCATGGTTAATGCTATCTGGGATCCATGGGAAGTCCCTGCCCATAAACCCTACCTTAACCATTAAAAATTTCAATTTCAATGCGGTAGGGATGTTCCAAGGAGCCCGGATAGCAACGACCGTGTGTCCATGGTGCCATCCTCTTCATCAATCAGCAGGAGTCTCTTGCTGACCAAGTGGCTGTCCCTCTGGGCCCATCTCAACTCTACAGTGAATGCAGCTTATCAAATGACAACAGTAGCACAGTGTTTATAGCATATTTTACAAACAGTAGCGTGAAATCATCAGGGTCAGAGGTGTCATGCCCATAGGGGTCACAGGGACACGCAAATAAATAAATATAAAATGGTGGTCCTCTGTAGCTCAGCTGGTAGAGCACGGCGCTTGTAACGCCAGGGTAGTGGGTTCGATCCCCGGGACCACCCATACACAAAAATGTATGCACACATGACTGTAAGTCGCTTTGGATAAAAGCGTCTGCTAAATGGCATATTATTATATTATTATTATTATAAAATACATTTGTTTATTTGTTGTTTCTATGTAATTCTACTAGCCACTTAGCAATTTTATGAAGTTGGCTTTAGCTAGCCCAGATAGGTTCCCAATCTCCCAATGTCACGGATTCAGCCGAGGCTGCTCCTCCTCCTTGCTCGGGCAGGCTTCGGCGTTCGTCGTCACCGGAGTACTAGCTGCTACCGATCTATGTTTCTGAGTTCTACTCGTCTTGTCTTTATTGTTCACACCTGGTTCCCATTAGGCATTGATTACTTCCCTATTTAACCCTCTGGCTCCCACTGTATGTTGTGCGTGTTTGTTCATGTTTGGTTGTCGTCTGGTGAGCGGGTTTGTTTCCGCCCTGCGTGGAAGTTATGTTATTTACGTTACCTACGAGTAAAGTACGTTTCGATTAGCTCTGTGTCCTGCGCCTGACTTCGTCCTACCGCATCACACTGACATCCTGACAGAAACCCGCACCAAAATATGGAGTCAGCAGGTATATTCATTTCGTCCGGATCAATGGAGGAATGTGTTCAACAGCAGGCGACCATGATCCAGACTCTCGGCACCGCAATGGAGCGCGTGTTGAACACTATGGAGCGATGGGAGAGAGGTGGTGGTCCTACACCTCTTCCAACTACATAACCACCCACACCGCTGTCCACCCCTTCGTCACCTGGGTCCAGTGGGATTCGGCTCTCGCTCCCGAGGGCATATGATGGTACTGCTGCCAGGTGCCAGGGTTTTCTGCTCCAGGTAGAGCTCTACCTGGCTACCATCCACCCGGCTCCCTCGGGATACGAGAGCGTGTCCGCCCTCATCTCCTGTCTGTCTGGAAGAGCGCTCGAGTGGACCAACGCCGAATGGGGAGGAATAGACGCAGCGTCAGTACGCTATGAGGATTTCACCCGCCGCTTTCGGGCGGTATTCGATCATCCACCGGAGGGGAGAGCGGCGGGGGAATGTCTATTCCATCTATCTGATTGATTCTCCTGCATTTCCAGTGGTGTTGGGGCTTCCCTGGTTAACTTCTCATGACCCCACGATTTCATGGCAACAGAGGGCTCTCAAGGAATGGTCAAGTCAGTGCTCGGGGAGGTGTGTAGGTGTTTCCATAGGGGCAACTACGGTGGAAAGTCCAAACCAGGTCTCTACCATGCACATTCCCCCCGAATATGCCGATTTGTCTCTCGCCTTCTGTAAAAAGAAGGCGACTCAATTACCACCCCATCGACAGGGGGATTGTGCGATAAATCTCCAGGTAGGCGCTGCACTTCCCCGGAGTCACGTGTATCCCGTCACAGGAAGAGACGGCGGCTATGGAAACATATGTTTCCGAATCTCTGGGGCAGGGATACATTCGGCCATCCACTTCACCTGCCTCCTCAAGTTTCTTTTTTGTGAAGAAGGATGGAGGTTTACGCCCGTGCATTGACTACCGGGGTCTCAATCAGATCACTATCAAGTACAGTTATCCACTACCGCTCATTGCTAGTATGACGGAGTCATTGCACGGGGCGCGCTTCTTCACAAAATTGGATCTCAGGAGCGCGTACAACCTGGTGCGTATCCGGGAGGGAGATGAGTGGAAGACAGCATTCAGTACCACCTCTGGGCACTATGAGTACCTCGTCATGCCTTAAGGGTTGATGAATGCTCCATCAGTCTTCCAATCCTTTGTTGATGAGATTTTCAGGGACCTGCACGGACAGGGTGTAGTGGTGTATATTGATGACATTCTCATATACTCCGCTACATGGGCCGAGCATGTGTCCCTGGTGCGTCAAGTGCTTGGTCGACTGTTGGAGCATGACCTGTATGTGAAGGCGGAGAAATGTCTGTTCTTCCAAGAGTCCATCTCCTTCCTAGGGCACCGCCTATCCGCGTCAGGGGTGGAGATGGAGATAGACCGCATTTCGGCCGTGCGTAATTGGCCGACTCCAACCACGGTGAAGGAGGTGCAGCGATTCTTGGGTTTTGCCAACTACTACCGGAGGTTTATCCGGGGCTTTGGTCAGGTAGCGGCTCCCATTACCTCCTTGCTGAAGGGGGGACCGGTGCGACTGCAGTGGTCAGCTGAGGCGGACAGGGCTTTTGGTCATCTGAAGGACCTGTTTACCTCGGCTCCAGTGCTGGCTCATCCGGATCCCTCCTTAGCATTCCAGGTTGAGGTGGACGCGTCCGAGGCTGGGATAGGAGCTGTACTGTCTCAGCGCTCGGGTACGCCACCAAAGCTCCGCCCCTGTGCTTTATTTTCTAAGAAGCTCAGTCCGGCGGGGCGCAACTATGATGTGGGGGACCGGGAGCTGTTAGCTGTGGTTAAGGCTCTGAAAGTGTGGAGGCATTGGCTTGAGGGGGCTAAACACCCTTTCCTCATTTTGACTGACCATCGCAATCTGGAGTACATCCGGGCGGCGAGGAGATTGAACCCTCGCCAGGCAAGGTGGGCCATGTTCTTCACTCGTTTTGTGTTTACTCTTACTTACAGACCAGGTTCCCAGAACGCTAAGGCAGACGCCCTGTCCCGACTGTATGACACAGAGGAGAGGTCCATTGAGCCCACTCCCATACTCCTCCTTGCTCGGGCAGGCTTCGGCGTTCGTCGTCACCGGAGTACTAGCTGCTACCGATCTATGTTTCTGAGTTCTACTTGTCTTGTCTTTATTGTTCACACCTGGTTCCCATTAGGTATTGATTACTTCCCTATTTAACCCTCTGGCTCCCACTGTATGTTGTGCGTGTTTGTTCATGTTTGGTTGTCGTCTGGTGAGCGGGTTTGTTTCCTCCCTGCGTGGAGGTTATGTTATTTACGTTACCTACGAGTAAAGTACGTTTTCGATTAGCTCTGTGTCATGCACCTGACTTCGTCCTACCGCATCACACTGACATCCTGACCTCCATTTTGCCTGGATTGAACAGACTAAGATCAAAAATATTTCAAAAATCGGGTTCCAGAATTACACATGTAGGTAGGGGTAAAGTGACTATGCATTGATAATAAACAGAGAGTAGCTAGCAGCAGCGTATGTGAAGGAGTGTGTGTGTGTGTGTGTGTGTGTGTGTGTGTGTGTGTGTGCCGTGCGTGGCGTCAATATGCATGCGTATTTTGTGTGTGTGTGTATGTGGTTATAGTCCAGTGAGTGTATATCGAGCCTGTGCAAGAGAGTCAGTGCAAAAAATATGAATAAATACAAATAAAATTAGGAGGTCAATGCAAATAGTCCAGGTAGCCATTTGATGAACTGTTCAGCAATCTTATGGCTTGGGAGTAGAACCTGTTAAAGAGCCTTTTGGTCCCAGACTTGGCTCTCCGGTACCGCTTGGATGGCTGGAGTCTTTGACAATTTCTAGGGCTTTCCTCTGACACTGCGTAGTATAGAGATTCTGGATGGCAGGAAGCTCGGCCCCAGTGATGTACTGGGCTGTACGCACTGCCCTCTGTAGCACCTTGCGGTCGGGATGCCGAGCAGTTGCCATACCAAGTGGCGATGCAACCAGTCAGGATGCTCTCGATGGTGCAGCTGTATAACTTTTTGAGGATCTGAGGGCCTATGCCAAATCTTTTCAGCTTCCTGAAGGGGAATAGGTGTTGTCGTATCCTCTTCACGACTGTCTTGGTGCGTTTGTACCATGATAGGTCCTTGGTGATATGGACACCAAGGAACTTGATTGAAGCTCTCGATCCGCTCCACTACAGCCCCGTCGATGTGAATGGGGGCGTGCTCTGCCCTTCTTTTCCTGTAGTCCACGATCAGCTCATTTGTCTTGCTGACGTTGAGTGAGAAGTTGTTCTCTTGGCACCACTTGGCTTTCCCATCGTTGTCTGTGATTAGGCCTACCACCGTCGAGTCATCAGCACACTTAATGATGTTGTTGGAGTCGTGCATGGCCACGCAGTCGTGTGTATAACGCTACAAGCTCGGCACACCTGTATTTGGGGAGTTTCTCCCATTCTTCTCTGCAGATCCTCTCAAGATCTATCAGGTTGGATGGGGAGCGTTGCTGCACAGCTATTTTCAGGTCTCTCCAGAGATGTTCGATCGGGTTCAAGTCCAGGTTCTGGCTGGGCCACTCAAGGACATTTAGAGACTTGTCCCAAGCCACTCCTGTGTTGTCTTGGCTGTGTGCTTAGGGTCGTTGTCCTGTCAAGGATTTCTATGTACTTTACTCCATTCATCTTCCCCTCGATCCTGACTAGTCTCCCAGTCCCTGCCGCTGAAAAATATCCCCACAGCATGATGCCACCACCATGCTTCACCGTAGAGATGGTGCCAGGTTTCCTCCAGATGTGACGCTTGTCATTCAGGCCAATGAGTTCAATATTGGTTTCATTAGACCAGAGAATCTTGTTTCTCATGGTCTGAGAGTCTTTAGGTGCCTTTTGGAAAAATCATAGCGGGCTGTCATGTGCCTTTACTGAGGAGTGGCTTCCGTCTGGCCACTCTACCATAAAGACTTAATTGGTAGAGTGCTGCAGAGATGGTTGTCCTTCTGGAAGGTTCTCCCATCTCCACAGAGGAACTCTAGAGCTCTGTCAGAGTGACCATCGGGTTCTTGGTCACCTCCCTGACCAAGGCCCTTCTCCCCCGATTGCTCAGTTTGGCCGGGCGGCCAGCTCTAAGAAGAGTGTTGGTGGTTCCAAACTTCTTCCATTTAAGAGTGATGGAGGCCACTGTGTTCTTGGGGACCTTCAATGCTGCAGAAATGTTTTGGTACCCTTCCCCAGATCTGTGCCTCGACACAATTCTGTCTCGGAGCTCTCCGGACAATTCCTTTGACCTCATGGCTTGGTTTTTGCTCTGATATGCACTGTCAACTGTGGGACCTTATATAGACAGGTGTGTTCCTTTCCAAATCATGTCCAATCAATTGAATTTACCACAGGTGGACTCCAATCAAGTTGTAGAAACATCTCAAGGATGATCAATGGAAACAGGATGCACCTGAGCTCAATTTCGAGTCTCATAGCAAAGGGTCTGAATATTTATGTAAATAAGGTATTTCTGTTTTCAGTTTTTATTACATTTTGAAAAATGTCCCAAAACTTATTTTCGCTTTGTCATTATGAGGTATTGTGTGTAGATTGCTGAGGAAATTGGTTTATTTAATCCATTTCAGAATAAGGCTGTAACGTAACAAAATGTGGAAAAAGTCAAGGGATCTGAATACTTTCCGAAGGCACTGTAGATGAAAAATATCTTGGTAAATAGTGTGTTCTACAGCTTATCATGTGGTACTCTAACTGAGGCGAGCAAAACCTAGAGACTTCCTTAATATTAGAAATCGCACACCAGCTGTTGTTACTGGAGGCTGCTGTTCTGTCTTGCCGATGCACGGAAAACCCAGCAAACGGTATATTATCCATGTCCTGGTCCAGCCACGACTCTGTGAGACAGGATACTACAGTTTTTAATGTTCCGTTGATAGGATAGTCTCAAACAGAGCTCATCCAGTTTATTCTCCAGTGATTGCATGTTCGCCAGTAGAACGGAGGGGGAAGGTGGATTATCCACTTGCCGACGCAGTTTCGCCAGGCATCCGGCTTTTCGACCACTGTAATTGCGTCTCCTCTTCACATGAATGATGGGTTTTTGGGCCTGGTCTAGGAAGAGCAGTATATCCCTCCGACTCCAGTTCAAGGTGAGTAATCGCTGTTCTGATGTCCAGAAGCTCTTTTCGGTCATAGGAAACAGTATGTACAAAACAAAAGTTAAAAACAGCGCAAAAAAAACAACACAAAATAGCACAATTGGTCAGGCGCACGTAAAACGGCGGCCATCACCTCTGGCGCCAATCTTTCATATTCAGGGTTATAAACCTTCAAACTTCTTATTTTCGATAATATAGACATTTGTTTGGATTAGGTACTGACTCTTCTTTGGACATTTCAAAATGACCTTTTACCCCACGGCACATCTGTTTGGTGAGTAGTCTTACGATAATGTTCTGCCCTTGAAAGCAAAAGTAGCCTATTGTATAGCAGATGATTAGGTTGAATTATTCCTCCATGGTTCTGATTTTACCTACTCGTTGTGCATTGCCTTGTCTCAATCTGGCTGAACTCACCTTTTTCATGTGCTCGCCTCTTGAACTTGAACTCCTCTAAGCCGCTGCCCTGATGACCAGCCTTGTGGCAGACTGCGTTCAACCTAAACATTTCATATATCTACCAATCTATCTGTTTTAATAAGTTAGATAGCTACGTTGATAAGACATGAATTTGTTAGCATTACGTTTTACAGAGAGTTGTTGACGTTATCTTCTTCGTCGGTAGAATAGTCAAAGTAATGTTTTTAGGCAAGGTGTGAGACGTTATCTATCGGACAGGCGTGGCTGACATGCGGCATGGTTCATCTTTCAGGAAAGCAGTTAAAAAATGGTGATAAAGTGGGCCAGCACTAAAGTGCTTCATGAGTGCTTCGAGATAAAGCTATTCTTGGCACCAGTGCCTCAAACCCACTCCAACAAAATGCACTTAAAAACACAAACTGTAGAAAAATATGACTTAATTCCATGAGAAAGATAGTTGAAAAGTAACATACTTTCTGACCATGAAACATGTAGAAATGTCTTCTTAGTCCTAATATCTTTAAAATATTTTTCAACCTCATGATTCTCTTACCATTTAGGTTATGCATTCATCACTAGGGTGTTTGGGTAAAAACAATGGCTCTGGGTTTCATTATTATTTTGAGGTTAATTTGATCTTTACCTCCATTTAGGATCGGCCTTATGTATTCACCACGTAAGACATACAGCAGCAGATGCTGTCGTAGCCCAATAATGGACTAAAGTAGCCTAACGTTAGTCCTTATAGTCCAAGGACCTTACGTGTTCTGTTTAGAGGCAAAATGGCTCTGGCAGCCAAAGCAGCCAGATACTCCATCTAAATGGAAATCGATTCTCAATTGCGGTACAGTTCTAGAAACATAAATCCCTCTACTTTCATATCACATCAAAATAATTTCACAAATGGAAAATACATTCTTACTGTACACTGTTTTAACCGGTATTAACACAGACGCAGCCAACAGTATTTTTCAGGTGACAACACGTTTGTGGTGTCTGTCTTCCATTAACACACAGGTGTTCGGAGACAAAGATCGCTAATTAGCACAGGTAGTCGCTTCTGTCTTCCGTCTGTTTTCCATAAACAAGCACTGTAACATGGAGACATGGCTGTGTGGGAACCTTAACCCTGTAAAGGTGTTTAGTAATTGAACCTTTATTTTTTATTTTTTTCTCACTGATATGAAAGATACGTTCCTTATGTTTCAAAAACCATACCGCAAGTGATGCATGTTAACGTTCAGAATGAGCGTCGGGGCTCTTAACAAAACTCCCCTGGTCAGAAGATACTATCATCAATAGGTGCTAAAGGTAGTTAGCATCTATGAATGGGCTAATGCTATTCTAAACTTGACATTTCCATAAAACATTCTGTTTTTTGCTATCACACGAACATGCAAGGAAACGTCATAATTAAAATGTACAGTAACATACAGATAGCTGCAGCACATCACATAGTATGCAAAACAGCAAACTTTACAATCATTATTTGGGGATAAACTAATAAAACACTGTTTTAACTTTAATTATATGTACCAACAGGAGAAGTGTTCATTTAATACAGTATACAATGTTATTTAAAAAAATCTAACAAATCCCCAGGGGCCGGTTTTTCTTAAGTTATCTATCTGGATTTCGCCTATCGGATATAATTAAATGCATAGAAATAGAATGCATAGGACAGACGCATCATTGACTTGAATGGGGAGTTCTATTCTATTCATTCTATTTCTATGCATTTAAACCTATCCGATAGGTGAAATCCAGATAGATAACTTTAGAAAAACTGGGCCCAGTTGATTTGGTCTAAAGAGACCATTGTGTGGACAGACCGTCTTTACCATTATTGCGCTACTACCATTTAGGTGGAATCCTTGGTCCAGGTCCACACTTGAGACAGCCCCACTGTAGATGACCTTCATCTCGAAAGGCCCGACTTACTCTTAGAAGATTTCTTTTTCTGAGAAAAACAAAAACATTTAAGGCTCTGTCATTGCAGCAGCTATAGGTCTGAGGACTAAGGCATGCAGTGAGCAGTGTAAACATGCTGGAATGCAAGGTCAAGAAAAAGCATGTCTGTCGGTCTACTACTTCTACACCTTGGTAAAGATGAGGATGATAGCTTCCTTACCTTTTTAGGAGGGGTCTCTGTGGGTGACTGTACAGTGATGGAGTCTTGGGCGGGGGTGACCGGAGTCTCAGGCACTGCAGTCTCCACTGAGAGTTTCAGCTTGTTCTTCTCTGTAGAGTTTTTAACACACATTAGACAGACAATCTTCAGTATAAAGTTATTTCACTGTCTGAAACAAGGTTTTTAGAGAAAGAGTCACTCACTTTTCTTCTTCTCTGTTGGAGGATTAGGCGTTCCTGTGGTGGATGGAGGTAGTGGGTCAGTTTTAACGCCATTTCCTTTAGTCTTCTTCTTTTCTTTTGTCGATTTCTTCTCAGTCTCGTCCCTGCTCATCTTCTCCTGTTTCTTCTTTGTTTCCTTCTCTTTATCTGCCCCATTCTCCTTTTTCTTCTTCTCTGGTTCCGTCTTCTCTTCTACAATCTCCTTTTTATTTTTCTTCTTCTTGGTTCTGGTGGATTCTCATCTGCTTTAGCCTCACTAATGTTCCCATTTTTCCTCTTTCCTTTCTTGGCTGTCTGTTTTCCATTAGGTGTTTTGGTAGAGGGCATGGAGGCTGGCTGTTTGTCTGCTACAGTTCTTAGGTCAGCTGTATTATTGTTGATCTCCTCTGCTTGGCCTTCAGGGGATGGGGTGGGGGGTGCTGCCTTCTTCGCTTGACTAGATTTGGCTTTACTGGCTTTTGCTGGTGTCTTGGTCTTCCCATTCCCCTCAGCCGTGTCTTTCTTTTCAGCTGTAGCTTTGAACTTTTTAGCAGGACCAGCCTTTTTCACTTCAGGGTCAGCCTTGGGTTTTGGTGTCTTCGATGCAGCTTTAGCCCTGGGCTTCCTCGGTGCTCTTGTTTTCTCTGCTGCAGAGGCAGGTGAGGTGGGAGCAGATGGAGCATTCAGCGCAGTGATGGCATTCATTTTGGCGATATCAGTGTCTGTGGACAGAGGTAGGTAGACAGTAAATAAACAACATGGCTAACAGAGACCTACTATGAAGACCTCCTATACTTTATGTAAAATACATCATGCAGATGAACTGTCAAACCTCCTGTACTTTATATAAAATACATAATGCAGATGAACTGTCAAACCTCCTGTACTTTATGTAAAATATATCATGCAGATGAACTGTCAACACCGCCTGTACTTTATATAAAATACATCATGCAGATGAACTGTCAACACCGCCTGTACTTAATATTAAATACATCATGCAGATGAACTGTCAACACCTCCTGTACTTTATGTAAAATACATCATGCAGATGAACTGTCATTCACCTCCGGTACTTTATGTAAAAAACATCACGCAGATGAACTGTCAAACCTCCTGTACTTTATGTAAAATACATCATGCAGATGAACTGTCAATACCTCCTGTACTTTATATAAAATACATCACGCAGATGAACTGTCAACACCGCCTGTACTTAATATAAAATACATCATGCTGATGAACTGTCAACACCTCCTGTACTTTATGTAAAATACATAATGCTGTTCTGTTTATATTGACGCATAGTTTTCTATAATGAAGTTATTAAAGGCTGATGCTGTCTGTCTTCTGGCTGTTATGATTTTAAATCCTTCACCCACTCTCTGACTCACAACCTTCTCCATCCTCTCATCTTCCTCCTGCTCTCTTCTTGTCTCTCCCTCTCTCCATCCCCTCTCTCTCTCCCCTCCTTCCTCCCAGCTCTCCCTCCCCTCCTTCCCCTCTCTCTCCCTCCCCTCCCCTCCTACCCCCCTCTTTCCCTCCCCTCCTTCCCTCTCTCCCTCCCCTCTTTCACTCTCTTTCCCCTCTCTCCCTCCCCTCCTATCCTCTCTCACTCTCCTCTCTCACTCATTCCCCTCTTTCCTTCCTCTCCCACCCTTCCTCCCCTCTCTCACTCTCCTCTCTCACTAATTCCCCTATTTCCCTCCTCTCCTCTCCCTCCCCTCTCTCACTCTCCTCTCTCACTCATTCCCCTCTTCCCTCCTCTCCTCTCCCTCCCCTCCTCCCCTCTCCCTCCCCTCCCCTCCTCCTCTCTCCTCACTCTCTTTCCCCTCTCTCCCTCCCCTCCTACCCTCTCTCCCTTTCCTCTCTCACTCTTTCCCCTCTTTCCCTCCTCTCCTCTCCCTCCCCTCCTCCCCTCTCCCTCCCCTCCCTCCCCTATCCCTCCCCTCCTCCCCTCTCTCACTCTCTTTCCCCTCTCTCCCTCCCCTCCTCCCCTCTCTCCCTCTCACTCTTTCCCCTCTTTCCCTCCTCTCCTCTCCCCCTCTTTCACCTGACAGTTCCAGTGCCAGTTTCTTCCACTTCTCCACATCCAGATCGGTGTCAGAGTCTGAGCCAGAGTCGTCTCCCCCAGTATGAGGAGGAACAGGGGGGTCTGAGGCAGGGCGACCATGACAGTCTCAGCCTGTGGAGGGGAAGGCTTCTTCTTCTTGCCCTTAATGGGCATGTCCCCTGGTTTCTCTTCACATCTCTTCCTCTTGGCTGATGGAGATGAGGCCTGAAACCAGGGATGTTAAGAATAATTAAGTTAGGGGGAGTTATCTAGCTAACAGTATGTGGTTCAACATTAGCATGTACAGATGAGAAAAGTCAACTTAAAGAGCGTTATCTGTACCTGTGCTTTCTTCATTGCTGTTGTTTTCTTGTCTTTTGCGGTCACCTTCTTTCCTTTCGGTGTGGCTGGGGCAGCTACATACAAGGGAAAGAGACAATCATACTGTAATGCACACCACCATCAATGCAGAACACACATAAGGGCCACATGCAGTTTGCTTGGAATCACTGGAATCCTTACTAGCTGGTGCCTTGCTTGGAGTAGCAGCAACCACTGGTTTAGCTGGGGTAGCAGGAGCGGCTTTCGTCTTGGCTGTTAATCTTGGTTTTGGTTGCTTCACTGGTGTAGCTTTAGCAGTGGCAGCTGTTGTCTGAATCAGTGTAAAGACAGATACAACAGTGAATAAATGTATTCAGAAAACTATTTATGAAGATTATTTAGCACTACACAGTGATATACACTACACTACTGGTAATTAACTGCAATCAGTCCCAGGGTTTATTTTTGCTATAGTAACTTGGAAAGAAGTGGAGGGTGCTCAACCAACGTGAGTTGAGGTGCAACATAAAAAAAAAAAAAACATAATTGAAAAGGAAATGTATAGTGATTTCTCATACACTACATGACTAAAAGTATGTGGACACCTGCTCGTCGAACATCTCACTCCAAAGTCATTAATATGGATTTGGTCCCCCCTTTGCTGCTATAACATCCTCCACTCTTCTTTGAAGGCTTTCCACTAGATGTTGGAACATTGCTGCGGGGACTTGCTTCCATTCAGCCACAAGAGCATTAGTGAGGTCCGCCACTGATGTTGGGCGATTAGGCCTGGCTCGCAGTCATGTTCCAATTCATGCCAAGGGTGTTCAATGGGTTTGAGGTCAGGGCTCTGTGCAGGCCAGTCAAGTTGTTCCACACCGATCTCAACAAACCATTTCTGTATGGACCTCGATTTGTGCACGGGTGCCTTGTCATGCTGAAACAGGAAAGGCCCTTCCCCTGTTTGTCTATGGAGATTGCATGGCTGTGTGCTCGATTTTATACACCTATCAGCAACGGGTGTGGCTGAAATAGCAGAATCCACGAATTAAATCAACAAAAAACGACAAAAAAAATATAAGAAACAGGTCTGCTTGTCGGGGAGGATGTCTGTTACATAGACAAAGACAAAGACAAAGACAAAGCACTCAACCCAACTGTCAATCAATGTATTGATCTTCCATCCATCCATGGGATTATTTTGCAGTTTAATTTTTGTCTACTTTCATGTAATGTATACGCTATTATTTCTTACAACCGACAAGAACTCTGGAACATCAGATCGGAAGTTACTTATCCCAAATCCGGCTTCAACTTCGACTCATCTGACCTGGGCTCTCTCTGTAATTCCAACCCAAGTTTTGGGCTACCGAAGAGGAAATGCTGGCGTTACAGAGGCAAGAGAGGGGGATCTTGGTGAGAATAAGGCGAAGGGAAAACCGGCCACCTCTTCCCTCCATTCTACTGCCGAATGTACAGTCACTTGATAATAAGATGGATGACCTCCGATCGCGGATTTGCTATCAATAGGACTCTCGGAATTGCAATATTCTTTGCTTTTCAGAAACATGGCTCTCAGACAAGATACCCCCCACGGCTATCCAACTCGATGGATTCTCCATTCACCGGGCAGACAGGACAGTGGAGTAGGGGAAATAAAGGGGGGGAGGGGTTTGCCTCTTCATCAATATGGCCATAATATATCCACACAACACTGCTTCAGTAGCCTCCAACTGCTCTTAAACACTAGTAAAACTAAATGCATGCTCTTCAATCGAACGCTGCTGGCACCCGCCCACCCGACTAGAATCACTACTCTCGACGGGTCTGACCTAGAGTATGTGGACAACTACAAATACCTAGGTGTCTGGTTAGACTGTAAACTCTCCTTCCAGACTCACATTAAGAATCTCCAATCCAAAGTTAAATCTAGAATCGGCTTCCTATTTCGCAACAAAGCCTCCTTCACTCATGCTGCCAAACATGCCCTCGTAAAACTGACTATCCTACCGATCCTTGACTTCGGCGATGTCATTTACAAAATAGCCTCCAACACTCTACTCAGCAAATTGGATGTAGTCTATCACAGTGCCATCCATTTTGTCTCCAAAGCCCCATACACTACCCACCACTATGACCTGTACGCTCTTGTTGGCTGGTCCTCACTACATGTTAGTCGCCAAACCCACTGGCTCCAGGCCATCTATAAATCACTGCTAGGCAAATCCCTGCCTTCTTAGCTCATTGGTCACCATAGCAACACCCAACCGTAGTATGCGCTCCAGCAGGTATATCTCACTGGTCATCCCCAAAGCCAACACCTCCTTTGGCCGCCATTCCCTCCAGTTCTCTGCTGCCAATGACTGGATTGAATTGCAAAAATCTCTGAAGCTGGAGACTCTTATCTCCCTCACTAACTTTAAGCATCAGTTGTCAGAGCACCTTACCGATCACTGCACCTGTACACAGCCCATCTGAAATTAGCCCACCCAACTACCTCATCCCTATATTGTTATTTATTTTGCTCATTTGCACCCCAGTATCTCTATTTGCACATAATCTCTTGCACATCTATCATTCCAGTGTTAATACTAATTGTAATTATTTTGCACTATAGCCTATTTATTGTCTTACCTCCATAACTTGCTACATTTGCACACACTGTATATATATTTTCTGTTGTATTTTTTGACTTTATGTTTTGTTTTACCCCACATGTAACTGTGTGTTGTTGTTTTTAATCGCACTGCTTTGCTTTATCTTGGCCAGGTCTCAGTTGTAAATGAGAACTTGTTCTCAACTGGCTTACCTGGTTAAATAAAGGTGAAATAAATTTTGTATAAAAACTCCAACTGGTTTGCTAATTCCAGCGCAGTGGAAGTGTCGACCCACTGTTCAACAGTCTTGGAATACCTTATGGTCAAATGCCGACCCATCTACCTCCCGAGGGAGTTTTCAGCTGTTATCGTGACTGTTGTATACATTCCACCTCAAGACAATAAAAATAATAAAGTGGCGCTTAACGAACTGTACAGTCGTGGTCAAAAGTTTTCAGAATGACACAAGTATTGGTCTTCACAAAGTTCGTTCCTTCAGTGTTATGAGATATTTTTGTCAGATGTTACTATGGTATACTGAAGTATAATTACAAGCATTCCATGAGTGTCAAAGGCTTTTATTGACAATTACATGAAGTTTATGCAAAGAGTCAATATTTGCAGTGTTGACCCTTCTTTTTCAAGACCACTGCAATCCGCTCTGGCATGCTGTCAATTAACTTCTGGGCCACATCCTGACTGATGGCAGACCATTCTTGCATAATCAATGCTTGGAGTTTGTCAGAATTTGTGGGGTTTTGTTTGTCTACCCGCCTCTTGAGGATCGACCACAAGTTCTCAATGGGATTAAGGTCTGGGGAGTTTCCTGGCCATGGACCCAAAATGTCGATGTTTTGTTCCCCGAGCCACTTAGTTATCACTTTTGCCTTATGGCAAGGTGCTCCATCATGCTAGAAAAGGCATTGGTCGACACTAAACTGTTCTTGGATGGTTGGGAGAAGTTGCTCTCAGAGGATGTGTTGGTACCATTCTTTATTCATGGCTGTGTTCTTAGGCAAAATTGTGAGTGAGCCCACTCCCTTGGCTGAGAAGTAACCCCACACATGAATGGTCTCAGGATGCTTTACTGTTGGCATGACACAAGACTGATGGAAGCGCTCACCTTGTCTTTTCCGGACAAGGTGTTTTCCGGAAGCCCCAAACAATCGGAAAGGGGATTCATCAGAGAAAATGACTTTACCCCAGTCCTCAGTAGTCCAATCCCTGTACCTTTTGCAGAATATCAGTCTGTCCCTGATGTTTTTTCCTGGAGAGAAGTGACTTCTTTGCTGCCCTTCTTGACACCAGGCCATCCTCCAAAAGTCTTCGCCTCACTGTGCGTGCAGATGCAATCGCACCTCCCTGCTGCCATTCCTGAGCAAGCTTTGCATTGGTGGTGCCCCGATCCCGCAGCTGAATCAACTTTAGGAGACGGTCCTGGCATTTGCTGGACTTTCTTGGGTGCCCTAACGCCTTCTTCACAACAATTGAACCTCTCTCCTTGAAGTTCTTGATGATCCGATAAATGGTTGATTTAGGTGCAATCTTACTAGCAGCAATATCCTTGCCTGTGAAGCCCTTTTTGTGCAAAGCAATGATGACGGCATGTGTTTCCTTGCAGGTAACCATGGTTAACAGAGGAAGAACAATGATTTCAAGTGGCACCCACCTTTTAAAGCTTCCAGTCTGTTATTCTAACTCAATCAGCATGACAGAGTGATCTCCAGCCTTGTCCTCATCAACACTCTCGCCTGTGTTAACGAGAGAATTACTGACGTGATGTCAGCTGGTCCTTTTGTGGCAGGGCTGAAATGCAGTGGAAATGTTTTTGGGGGATTAAGTTCATTTTCATGGCAAAGAGGGACTTTGCAATTAATTGCAATTCATCTGATCACTCTTCATGACATTCTGGAGTATATGCAAATTGCCATCATCAAAACTGAGGCAGCAGACTTTGTGAAAATATGTGTCATTCTCAAAACTTTTGACCACGACTGTACAAGGATATAAACAAGTAGGAAACCCTACACCCAGAGGCTGCCTTTCTGGTTGCCGGCGATTTTAATTCGGCGTCACTAAGACACGCGATGCCCAACTTCAATCAACACTTCTCCAACACCACTAGGGGCAATAAAGTCCTAGACCACTGCTATTCTACCCACAAGAAAGCATACAAGGCCCTCCCTCGTCCGCCATTTGGCAAATCAGATGATGACTCCGTACTCTTGCTTCCTGTTTACAAGCAGAAGCTGAAAACAGGAAGTACCCGTGATTCGCTCCGTTGAGAAATGGTCACCAGAATCAGAGGGTATGTTTCAGAACTGCTTTGCTGCGCTGATTGGAATATGTTTCGAGACTCCGCCGAGAACATCGACGAGCTAATCACCTCCTCATTAGAAAATGCATCGGCGACGTTGTACCCACGGTGAAGGTTCGCTGCTTCCCCAATCAAAAGCCCTGGATTAACACTGAGGTTGGTGCTAAACTAAAGAGAAGGGCTACCGCACACAGAGCTATTGCAGACCACCCTGATGCTACGGCTGAAGACAGGAATAAGTACAAGAAGGCCCGCTATGACCTCTGCAGAGTCATCAAACGAGCAAAAGGACAATATAGGAATAAGGTGGAATCATATTACACAGGCTCCGCCACATGTGGCAGGGCTACAGTTCATTACGGATTACAAAGGAAGACCTAACCGTGATCTGTCCAACGATGCCTCTCTACCAGACAAACTCAATGCATTTTATGCACGCTTTGACAACAACATCGAGCCGGGTGTGAGGGCCATTAACGACCCAGAGGACTGGGTGATCTCGCTCTCTGAGGCCGATGTGAGAAGGGTCTTTAATCAGATCAACACCCGCAAGGCCGCGGGCCCCAACGGTTTTCCAGGGAGCGTTCTCAGAGCATGCGCAGAACAGCTGGCAGGCATATTCACGGTAATTTTCAAACAATCCTTGTCCCAGTCTGTAATCCCCACGTTTTAAGATGACCACAATCATCCCTGTTCCTAAGAACTCTAAGACTTCATGCCACAATGATTACCGCCCTGTAGCACTCACTTCTGTAATCATGAAGTGCTTTGAGAGGCTGGTTATGGAACATATTAACTCCACCATCCCAGCCACCCCAGACCCACTGCAATTTGCATACTGCCCCAACAGATCCATAGATGATGCAATCTCAATTGCTCTCCACACTGCCCTCACCCCACCTAGATAAGAGGAATACCTATAAGAGAATGCTGTTCATTGACTACAGCTCAGCGTTCAACACCAGTATCTGCAACTGCAGCAACTGGATCCTGGACTTTCTGACGGGCCGACCCCAGGTGGTGAGGTTAGGCAACATCACGTCCACCACACTGACCCTTAACACAGGGGCCCCGCAGGGGTGTGTGCTTAGTCCCCTCCTGTACTCCTTGTTCACCCATGACTGTGTGGCCACGTACGACTCCAACAGCATTATCAAGTTCCCTGACGACACGATGGTGGTTTGCCTGATCACCAGCGACGATGAGTCAGCCTACAGGGAGCACAGGGGCCCCGCAGGGGTGTGTGCTTAGTCCCCTCCTGTACTCCTTGTTCACCCATGACTGTGTGGCCACGTACGACTCCAACAGCATTATCAAGTTCCCTGACGACACGATGGTGGTTTGCCTGATCACCAGCGACGATGAGTCAGCCTACAGGGAGGGGGTCAGTGACCTGACAGTGTGGTGCCAGAGCAACAACCTCTCCCTCGACGTCAGCAAGACCAAGGAGCTGATCGTGGACTACAGGAAATGGGGTCGAGCACACCCCCATCCACAGTGTGGCAGTGGAGCAGGTAGACAGCTTCAAGTTCCTCTGTGTCCAAATCACTAAAGACTTAAAATGTCCCAAACAGACTCGCACAGTCGTGAAGAAGGTGCGACAGTGCCTCTTCCCCCTCAGGAGGTTGAAAGAGTTTGGCATGGGCCCTCAAATCCTGAAAAGGTTATACAGCTGCACCATTGAGAGCATATTGACTGGCTGCATCACTGCTTGGTATGGCAATAGCACCGTCCTCGATTGCATGGCACTACAGAGGGTTGTGCGGACAGCCCAGTGCATCACAGGGGCCGAGCTCCCTGCCATCCAGGACCTCTATATCAGGCGGTGTGAAAAGAAGGCCTGGAAAATCGTCAAAGAACCCAACCACCCAAGCCATAGACTATTTTCTCTGCTGGCGCACGGCAAGCCGCACGGCAAGAGGTACCGGTGCATCAAGTCTGACACCAACAGGCTCTTGAACAGCTTCTATCCCCAAGCATTAAGACTGATAAATAGCTAACAAAATAGCTACACGGACCGAGTTCACCTTGTATCTTTATTGACCTTTTATTTCAGTATTTGCACTGTCTCAATGACCACTCACAGGGCCCTACACACTCGCACACACTGTCACTCCAACACTCACACAAACACTCACTCCATCATTTTCTCACTCACACATAACATGCACATACGTTCATACTGACTCTACACACCTGCACACCCACTCACATGCAAGCTGCTGCTACTCTGTTTATCTTACATCCTGTTGCCTAGTCACCTTAATCCTATACATATCTACCTCCATCACTCCAGTATCCCTGCACATGTAAATATGGTATTGGAACTGACTTTTTAAAGACGGCGCTAGTGTCAAAAGCACGTTCTTGGCAATATCAACCCGTTAAAGCCAGCGCTCTGCTATTTTCAAACTGTTGGATTGGTAATTTACCTCTCTTATATCAGCTCGTATATATCAGTTCCTCGGCATACACATCACTGACAAACTGAAATGGTCCACCCACACAGACTGTGTGGTGAAGAAGGCGCAACAGCATCTATTCAACCTCAGGAGGCTGAAGAAATTTGTCTTGGCCCCTAAGACCCTCACAAACCTTTACACATGCACCATTGAGAGCATCCTGTCGGGCTGTATCACCGCCTGGTACGGCAACTGCACCGTCTGCAACTGCAGGGCTCTCCAGATGGTGGTACGGTCAGCCCAACACATCACTGGGAGCACACTGCCTGCCCTCCAGGACATCTACAGCACCCAGTGTCACAGGAAGGCCAAGAAGATCATCAAGACCTCAGCCACCCAAGACATGGCCTGTTAACCCCGCTACCATCCAGGAGAAGGCAGTACAGGTTCATCAAAGCTAGGACAGAGACACTGAAAAACAGCTTCTATCTCAAGGCCATCAGACTGTTAAATAGTCACCACTAGCTGGCCTCCATCCAGTACCCTTCCCTGAACTTTAGTCACTGTCACTAGCCAGCTACCACCTGGTTACTCATCCCTGCACCTTAGAGGCCAATGTACATAGAAATGGAACACTGGTCACTTTAAACATGTTTACATGCTGTTTTACCCACTTCATATGTATATACTGTATTCTAGTCAAGGCCGATATATTATATATATATATATACACACACGCACACATACACACACACACACACAGTCATGTGAAAAAGTAAGTACACCCCCTGGAAAGTGGTCTTTTATTTTTACATATTTGGACACATGGATATTTGAACTAAATTCCCACCACATTAATTGATAAAGGTAACCAAATTTAACAAATCACACAAACAATTTTTTACTTTGAAAATGTTATGCATTTAAAATAAACAAAAATGCCTTTTCCTTATGCGGAAATAGTTAGTACACCCCTACCTTTACCATCACATAAAATGGCTAAAATTAGAATCAGGTGCACCAAAACAAGTGCAAATGATTAGAAAATCATTAGGAGAGAAACTTAGTAGGGTCCAGCCTTCCATAAAGATTAGAAACTTGGTCTGGTTTGGTCTTAACTATATGGGTGTGTGGTAACACATCATGCCAAGATTGAAAGACCTACCCGAGGCCGTCAGAAGAAAGATTATTGATGGCCATGAGTCTGGGAGGGGTTACAAATCCATTTCCAAGCAATTCGAAGTACATCATTCCACTGTCCGACGGTTCATCTACAAATTGAGAAAATTCCAGACCCCTGGCAATCTACCTAGGACAGGTCGTCCCACCAAATTCAGCCCAAGAGCTGACCGAAGGATGTTCATTGAAGTCTCTAAGAACCCCAGGGTAACATCAAGGGATCTACAGGCCTCTCTTGCCACAATCAATGTCAAAGTGCATGAGTCAACTGTCAGAAAGAGACTGCACAAACTAGGCCTACATGGGAGGTCAGGAAGGAAGAAGCCTCTGCTCTCAAAAAAGAATATCAAGACACGACTGACGTTTGCCAGACAACACCTGGGTAAAGACCAAAACTACTGGAACAATGTGCTCTGGACAGATGAGTCAAAGGTGGAGTTGTTTGGCCGCAATGCCAGACGCCATGTTTGTCGAAAACGAAACACTGCCTTTGAACAGAAGAACCTCATACCAACTGTAAAGCATGGAGGCGGTGGCATTATGGTTTGGGGCTGCTTTGCTGCCTCAGGGCCTGGCCAACTTGCCATCATATAGTCAACCATGAATGCTATATTGTACCAGAGAATTCTTGAGGAGAATGTGAGGCCATCTGTCAAAAAGCTGAAGCTGAACCGAACATGGGTCTTACAACAGGACAATGATCAAAAACACAAATGCTAAGCTACAACAGAATGGCTCAAAAATTGTAAATGGAGGGTTATGGAATGGCTGAGTCAAAGCCCAGATCTCAATCCTATCGAAATGCTGTGGGGGGACTTGAAGTGGGCCTTGCATACAAGAAAGCCCTCGAACATGACACATTTGAAGCAGTACTGTAAAGAAGAGTGGGCAAAAATTCCTCCCAGTCAATGTAAGAGACTGATAGACAGTTACAAGAAACGTCTACATTAAGTTATTTCAGCCAAAGGGGGCAACACAAGCTATTGAAGCTAGGGGTCTACTTATTTTCTCCACACTATAGAATTGCACTTCTGTTGACTTTTGATGAATAAATTATTGCAAAGTATAATCTTTCAGTGTCATTTGTTAAATTAGGTTACCTTTATCTGTCAATAGTGTTGAAGTGAAGATTACATATCTATCTGTCCAAATATGTAAAAAAAAAGCAACTTTCCAGGGGGTGTATTTACTTTTTCACATGACACATACAGTTGAAGTCGGAAGTTTACATACACTTAGGTTGGAGTCATTAAAACTCGTTTTTCAACCACTCCACACATTTCTTGTTAACAAACTATAGTTTTGGCAAGTCGGTTAGGACATCTACTTTGTGCATGACACAAGTCATTTTTCCAACAATTGTTTACAGACAGATTATTTCACTTATAATTCACTGTATCACAATTCCAGTGGGTCAGAAGTTTACATACACTAAGTTGACTGTGCCTTTAAACAGCTTGGAAAATTCCAGAAAATGATGTCATAGCTTTAGAAGCTTCTGATAGGCTAATTGACATCATTTGAGTCAATTGGAGGTGTACCTGTGGATGTATTTCAAGGCCTACCTTCAAACTCAGTGCCTCTTTGCTTGACATCATGGGAAAATCAAAAGAATTCAGCCAATACCTCAGATTATTATTTTTTTGTATAAAAACGCAAGTATAAACACCATGGGACCACGCAGCTGTCATACCACTCAGGAAGGAGACGCGTTCTGTCTCCTAGAGATGAACGTACTTTGGTGCGAAAAGTGCAAATCAATCCCAGAACAACAGCAAAGGACCTTGTGAAGATGCTGGAGGAAACAGGTACAAAAGTATCTATATCCACAGTAAAACGAGTCCTATATCGACATAACCTGAAAGGCTGCTCAGCAAGGAAGAAGGCACTGCTCCAAAACCGCCATAAAAAGCCAGACTACGGTTTGCAACTGCACATGGGGACACAGATCGTACTTTTTGGAGAAATGTCCTCTGGTCTGATGAAACAAAAATAGAACTGTTTGGCCATAATGACCATCATTATGTTTGGAGGAAAAAGGGGGGGCTTGCAAGCTGAAGAACACCATCCCAACCGTGAAGCACGGGGGTGGCAGCATCATGCTATCATGTGCTTTGCTGCAGGAGGGACTGGTGCACTTCACAAAATAGATGGCATCATGAGGAAGGAAAATTATGTGGATATATTGAAGCAACATTTCAAGACATCAGTCAGGAAGTTAAAGCTTGGTCGCAAATAGGCCTTCCAAATGGACAATGACCCCAAGCATACTTCCAAAGTTGTGGCAAAATGGCTTAAGGACAACAAATTCAAGGTTTTGGAGTGGCCATCACAAAGCCCTGACCTCAATCCTCTAGAAAATGTGTGGGCAGAACTGAAAAAGCGTGTGCGAGCAAGGAGGCCTACAAACCTGACTCAGTTACACCAGCTCTGTCAGGAGGAATGGGCCAACATTTACCCAACTTATTGTGGGAAGCTTGTGGAAGGCTACCCGACATGTTTGACCCAAGTTAAACAATTTAAAGGCAATGCTACCAAATATTAACTGAGTGTATGTAAACTTCTGACCCATTGGGAATGTGATGAATGAAATAAAAGCTGAAATAAATCATTCTCTCTACTATTATTCTGACATTTCACATTCTTAAAATAAAGTGGTGATCCTAACTTACCTAAGACAGGGAATTTTTTTGACAGCGGAAATGCAGCCTATCCAGCAGTAACGCACACTGCCCATATGCCCATGGAACAAGAGTAATGTGATTTTGGTGCCTGTAGCCTATACTTTGTATTTAGAAACATAAAAAAAAATGTTTTTTCCCCATTTCGTTTTATTTCATTAAAAACCAAGCATAGCCCCCACTCCTCTCAATTAAGGCTTTTTTTTTTTTTTTTTCTGCCCAACGCAAAGTAGCCAAGACTGTTGAGAAAGGGCTTGGCCCCTGAGACCACTTGGAAATAAATCGTAATCACTAACGCTTTATTAAAAGATCATGTTTGAGAGGAGCAAAACAGTGAGCTGACATTCCCTTTTTATCAATGCATTGTAGGCAGGCCCACATTATTTTAGCCATGCAGGTCCCGTTTTGGACATAGGTAAAACCCTCTCCGTGATGCAGGCTACGTGTCCATGCCCACCATGAAACGAGAGATGAGAACCTCGGTGAATACCGGTGAACCTTGTATTTAAAAGTTATTGTCTTTTTTATCCTGCTGATGTTATAATTTCACTACATCTTACATTTATTTATTGTTGAAAAAAACAAACAGATTGCTTGTTTTTCGTTCAATTTGATTAAAACCACATTTATTAGAATTATTCACCTTCCTGTTTTTATGGCGACAATGTCTGTGGCGTGCGTGCATGCAATGCAACTTCTGGAGATGTGTGAATGCGATCTGATCTGTAAGATGGTTCCGATTATGTTCATAAAACATTGTCCACTCACCGTTATACTGCTCCCAAATAGGCCTTTCTCCCTTTCTCTTTACATTGGATCTTTGTACAGTCGTGGTCAAAAGTTTTGAGAATGACACAAATATTAATTTTCAGAAAGTCTGCTGCCTCAGTTTTGATGATGGCAATTTGCATATACTCCAGAATGTCATGAAGAGTGATCAGATGAATTGCAATTAATTGCAAAGTCCCTCTTTGCCATGAAAACGAACTTAATTTAAAAAAAAACTTTTCCACTGCATTTCAGCCCTACCACAAAAGGACCAGCTGACATCATGTCAGTGATTCTCTCGTTAACACAGGCGAGAGTGTTGACGAGGATATTGCTGCTAGTAAGATTGCACCTAAATCAACCATTTATCGGATCATCAAGAACTTCAAGGAGAGAGGTTCAATTGTTGTGAAGAAGGCTTTAGGGCGCCCAAGAAAGTCCAGCAAGTGCCAGGACCGTCTCCTAAAGTGAGGACCAGGACCGTCTCCTAAAGTGAGCTCCTGAGTGGCGCAGTGGTCTAAGGCACTGCATTGCAGTGCTAACTGTGTCACTAGAGATCCTGGTTCGAATCCAGGCTCTGTCGCAGCCGGCTGCGACCGGGAGACTCATGGGCGGCGCACAATTTGGCCCAGCGTTGTCCAGGGTAGGGGAGGGAATGGCCGGCAGGGATGTAGCTCAGTTGATAGAGCATGGTGTTTGCAACGCCAGGGTTGTGGGTTCGATTCCCATGGGGGGCCAGTATAAAAAAACTATAAAAAAACTGTAAGTCGCTCTGGATAAGAGCGTCTGCTAAATGACGTAAATGTAAAGTTGATTCAGCTGCGGGATCGGGGCACCACCAGTGCAGAGCTTGCTCAGGAATGGCAGCAGGCAGGTGTGAGTGCATCTGCACGCACAGTGAGGCAAAGACTTTTGGAAGATGGCCTGGTGTCAAGAAGGGCAGCGAGGAAGCCACTTCTCTCCAGGAAAAACATCAGGGACAGACTGATATTCTGCAAAAGGTACAGGGATTGGACTGCTGAGGACTGGGGTAAAGTCATTTTACATTTTACATTTTTAGTCATTTAGCAGACGCTCTTATCCAGAGCGACTTACAGTTAAGGAGTGCATACATTTTTCATACTGGCTCCCCGTGGTAATCAAACCCACAACCCTGGCGTTGCAAGTGCCATGCTCTTCCAACTGAGCTACAGGAGGGCTTCATTTTCTCTGATGAATCCCCTTTCCGATTGTTTGGGGCATCCTGAAAAAAGCTTGTCCGGAGAAGACAAGGTGCGCGCTACCATCAGCCTGTGTCATGCCAACAGTAAAGCATCCTGAGACCATTCATGTGTGGGGTTGCTTCTCAGCAAAGGGAGTGGGCTCACTCACAATTTTGCCTAAGAACACAGCCATGAATAAAGAATGGTACCAACACATCCTCTGAGAGCAACTTCTCCCAACCATCCAAGAACAGTTTGGTGATGACCAATGCCTTTTCCAGCATGATGGAGCACCTTGCCATAAGGCAAAAGTGATAACTAAGTGGCTCGGGGAACAAAACATCGACATTTTGGGTCCATGGCCAGGAAACTCCCCAGACCTTAATCCCATTGAGAACTTGTGGTCAAGCCTCAAGAGGCGGGTGGACAAACAAAACCCCACAAATTCTGACAAACTCCAAGCATTGATTATGCAAGAATGGGCTGCCATCAGTCAGGATGTGGCCCAGAAGTTAATTGATAGCATGCCAGGGCGGATTGCAGAGGTCTTGAAAAAGAAGGGTCAACACTGCAAATATTGACTCTTTGCATAAACTTAATGTAATTGTCAATAAAAGCCTTTGACACTTATGGAATGCTTGGAATTATACTTCAGTATACCATAGTAACATCTGACAAAAATATCTAAAAACACTGAAGCAGCAAACTTTGTGAAGACCAATACTTGTGTCATTCTCAAAACTTTTGACCACGACTGTACAGCTATTGTGAAAAGTTTGGATGTGCTTAAAACCCTCCATAGTCTGCGTTGTTTTAATGTTATATGCCCACGGGAAGCAATTATGGTGCCTGTAAGTGTATTTAGACAGCATATTTAAAACAAGTTGTTTTGTTTAGAATTTGATTTAGAATTATTCTCTCTTTTAAGGTTTTATCAATAATAAATGTATTCTTGCTTATTGACAATGTTTAGCATGTCCATCATCAGCCATAATGTAATTTACAGTAGTCCTAGCCCCTATATCAGTGTGAATGCTATGTAGGCATACATACAGTGCATTCGGAAAATGTATTCAGACCCCTTGACTTTTTCCACATTTTGTTACGTTACAGCCTTATTCTAAAATGGATTAAATAAATAAAAATCCTCAGCAACTACACACAATACCCCATAATGACAAATGAAAACAGGTTTTTAGAAATGTTTGCAAATGTATTAAAAATTAAAAACAGAAATAGCTTATTTACGTAAGTATTCAGACCCTTTGCTATGAGACTGGAAATTGAGCTCAGGTGCATCCTGTTTCCATCCTTGAGATGTTTCTACAACTTGATTGGAGTCCACCTGTGGTAAATTCAATTGATTTGACATGATTTGGAAAGGCACACACCTGTTTATATAAGGTCTCACAGTTGACAGTGCATGTCAGAGCAAAAACCAAGCCATGAGGTCGAAGGAATTGTCCGTAGAGCTCCGAGACAGGATTGTGTTGAGGCACAGATGGGAAGGGTATCAAAACATTTCTGCAGCATTGAAGGTCCCCAAGAACACAGTGGCCTCCATCATTCTTAAATGGAAGAAGTTTGGAACCCTCTTCTTAGAGCTGGCCGCCCGGCCAAACTGAGCAATCGGGGGAGAAGGGCCTTGGTCAGGGAGGTGACCAAGGACCCGATGGTCACTCCGACAGAGCTCCAGAGTTCCTCTGTGGATATGGGACAACCTTCCAGAAGGACAATCATCTCTGCAGCACTCCACCAATCAGGCCTTTATGGTAGTGGCCAGATGGAAGCCACTCCTTAGTAAAAGGCACATGACAGCCCGCTTGAAGTTTGCCAAAAGGCACCTAAAGGACTCTGACCATGAGAAACAAGATTCTCTGGTCTGATCAAACCAACATTGAACTCATTGGCCTGAATGCCAAGCGTCACATCTGGAGGAAACCTGGCACCATCCCTACGGTGAAGCATGGTGGTGGCAGCATCATGGTGTGGGGATATTTTTCAGCGGCAGGGACTGGGAGACTAGTCCGGATTGTGGTCCTCTGTAGCTCAATTGGTAGAGCATGGCAGTTGTAACGCCAGGGTAGTGGGTTCGATCCCCGGGACCACCCATACGTAAAAATGTATGCGCACATGACTGTAAGTCGCTTTGGATAAAAGCGTCTGCTAAATGGCATATTATTATTAGGATCGAGGGAAAGATGAACGGAGCAAAGTACATGGAAATCCTTGATGAAAACCTGCTCCAGAGTGCTCAGGACTGCAGACTGGGCCGACGGTTCACCTTCCAACAGGACAACGACCCTAAGCACACAGCCAAGACAACGCAGGAGTGGCTTCGGGACAAGTCTCTGAATGTCCTTGAGTTACCCAGCCAGAGTCCGGACTTGAACCCGATTGAACATCTCTGGAGAGACCTGAAAATTGCTGTGCATCGACGCTCCCCATCCAACCTGACCGATCTTGAGAGCATCTGAAGAGAAGAATGGGAGAAACTCCCCAAATACAGGTGTGCCAATCTTGTAGCGTCATACCTAAGAAGACTCAAGTCTGTAATCGGTGCCAAAGGTGCTTCAACAAAGTACTGAGTAAAGGGTCTGAATGCTTATGTAAATGTGATACTTTTTTTTATTTGTAATACATTTGCAAACATTTCTAAAAACCTGTTTTTGCTTTGTCATTATAGGGTATTGTGTGTAGATTGATGAGGGAAAAAAACAATTTAATCAATTTTAGAATAAGGCTGTAACGTAACAAAATGTGGGAAAATTCAAGTGACAACATGACATACATGATCCTCAGAGTTAAAGCACATAAGATTGTTGTGGAGCAATGTACTAAATTAATGGTTGTTGTTTACTTTGGATTTAGTCTCCTATACTGTATGTCTGACACTACAGTTAGTTAGATGGTTGGAGATAAAGGCTGTACCTTTAACAGGTGTTGTTTCTTCCTCTTCTGAACTCGAGCTCTCTGTGCTGCTTTCAGGGTCTGCTTGACGGCCCTTTTTGAACATGGTAGAATCCGGTTCTGTTCCCTTCTTTGTGCTCTTGGAAGTACTGAAGAACACAGTTGAATGTCAAATTCAAACCCAATGCAATGCAGTCAGTTTATCTTGGGGGCAAATAAGCGGGCGCTGGCCGCATATTGGGGAACCCTGTCACTCTTGTTCCATAGACTCTTGTTCAAGCGCCGCTCCGGCTGGTCCTCTCAATCCTAGCTACACTGTTACAGCTATTTTATTACATTGTAACAAAAACAGTATGAAGTAGGAAACAGAATAGATATAGCGACCGTATTCACATGCTTCTTGAGTTCTTCTGCAGCTTTCTGGAAGCCGTTCTCTTTTAAATGCTGGTAGATCAAATGGTTCAATTGGTGATTTGAACCATGCTTATTCTTTAAAGACATATTCAGACGTTAACACAAACACAACAAGAAAACGTTACGTTTTAACGAATTTAATAAACTTGACCACATCGGTGTGTATGCTTTCGTTCTTCACATCGTGCATGGTAAACTTTCAACTTTGACCCATGAGTGTCTTTCCGCCCCGTGTGCATGATGGGAATTGTAGTTCAGCCACTGCGGCTGCACTGATTGGGTATTGTAGCAGTAGCCTCACTCTTTATTTCTAGGCGAGTCCTCCTAGCGGCCCACGTATGATAAGGCCGTTGTTATTATTTTACAATAAAAAGTATCCTTCCACCGTCAATGTAGCACACATTGAATTTCTCTTGACCTTGAGATATTTCAGATAATCTTTACATAACCTAATCTTGACCATTAGAATTTAGAAATCTTCAGTTCAAAATGTTTCTTTTCAGAGGTATAAGTGTGGTTTCTTCAACCATCTGTTAGATATTATGACCTGGGGCTGAGCACAGCTATCTGTATGTGGCAGATTCTGTAGTTTAATAGCTATGTTCTGTTCTCACACATTTGCCTGGTCATTATGATCCTGAATGAACTAGTGTCTCAAGGTTACCCAGGCTTCCCCCGTAAAAGCCCCTCTCTCTTTCCTCTTCTTCTTCTTCCTTTCCCTCCATAATTTCTCTATGATTTCAGTTCATTTGAAAATCAAAACAAACGTCTGAGGACGGTGTAATTTAGAGCACTCCCCTCTATGTGGACTGATCTCACCTGTGCAGTGTGTTTGTGTTAGCGAAGGACAAAATTCTCTCCTAGCTTGGATACCTGCAGTGGCATTGTAGTGGACTTGGTTGTCATGGGTTCTTTATATTATAACAGTTAGCATATTAGTCTTGTGGTTTCTCCTGGTTCATCATGGTGGTCCAAGAGGACATGCCAGCTGTTTCAAACACTTAGCGAATGTGTGTGCGTGTGTGTGTGTGTGTGTGTGTGTGTGTGTGTGTGTGTGTGTGTGTGCGTGTGCGTGTGTGTGAGACGAGAAGTGTGTGTGTGTATAAGTAAATGTAACCCCCCCCCCCCCCCCCTTTAGCTATGGCAGGAGGAACATCCCTGGGCCAGTCAGGCCACCGGGCAGCGCCAGACCAGACGCTCCAAAAACCATCCTGAGACAAATCAAATACACAAATTAAAACAACTTCTTCAAAATCTGCCAATAAGGTCAGATCTGATAGGAGCAGGTGTGTTTGGATAAGGTTTGGGCATTGAGTGGAGGGGTGTGGAGGGAGGGGTTTAGGGGTTGGGATGAAACGGCATGTGGTGTGGGTCTTCAAGGGGGTGGGTTCCAACATACTGACTGGAAGTGAGCCTGAAAGCCAGTGGTGGTGGCGGTGGTGGTGGTGGTGGTGGGGCATGTTGTTTGGGTCAATCTGGGGGAGAGCATTGCTTAAGCAGGGGGTCAGTGGGAGCAGGGAGCTGAAAGAGACCCATTCATGGAGGATGGAGGTGAAACCAGGAAAGGAAAGCAGTGTGTATTCCAAACACAACGTCAAACCTTACAGTTGGTCTAACCAAGCTTGATTTCACCAGCTCTCAATTCCAACCCTCTCCTCCACACAAACACACACACACACACATAACCTTGGCTGAGCAAATTATTGGTTATGGAGAGCTGAAACGCAGATTCAGCTCCCATTCTTACACTGATCTGTTAGGCCACCAAAGTTGTATGGAAGAAAAAATTGAATATTTCCTGTGTTCATCCCCCCCCCCCCATTTCTGTTCTACCTGACATACAGTGGGGAAAAAAAGTATTTAGTCAGCCACCAATTGTGCAAGTTCTCCCACTTAAAAAGATGAGAGAGGCCTGTAATTTTCATCATAGGTACACGTCAACTATGACAGACGAATTGAGTTTTTTTTCTCTCCAGAAAATCACATTGTAGGATTTTTTATGAATTTATTTGCAAATTATGGTGGAAAATAAGTATTTGGTCACCTACAAACAAGCAAGATTCCTGGCTCTCACAGACCTGTAACTTCTTCTTTAAGAGGCTCCTCTGTCCTCCACTCGTTACCTGTATTAATGGCACCTGTTTGAACTTGTTATCAGTATAAAAGACACCTGTCCACAACCTCAAACAGTCACACTCAAAACTCCACTATGGCCAAGACCAAAGAGCTGTCAAAGGACACCAGAAACAAACTTGTAGACCTGCACCAGGCTGGGAAGACTGAATCTGCAATAGGTAAGCAGCTTGGTTTGAAGAAATCAACTGTGGGAGCAATTATTAGGAAATGGAAGACATACAAGACCACTGATAATCTCCATCGATCTGGGGCTCCACGCAAGATCTCACCCCGTGGGGTCAAAATGATCACAAGAACGGTGAGCAAAAATCCCAGAACCACACAGGGGGACCTAGTGAATGACATACAGAGAGCTGGGACCAAAGTAACAAAGCCTACCATCAGTAACACACTACACCGCCAGGGACTCAAATCCTGCAGTGCAAGACGTGTCCCCCTGCTTAAGCCAGTACATGTCCAGGCCCGTCTGAAGTTTGCTAGAGTGCATTTGGATGATCCAGAAGAGGATTGGGAGAATGTCATATGGTCAGATGAAACCAAAATAGAACTTTTTGGTAAAAACTCAACTCGTCGTGTTTGGAGGACAAAGAATGCTGAGTTGCATCCAAAGAACACCATACCTACTGTGAAGCATGGGGGTGGAAACATCATGCTTTGGGGCTGTTTTTCTGCAAAGGGACCAGGTCGACTGATCCGTGTAAAGGAAAGAATGAATGGGGCCATGTATTGTGAGATTTTGAGTGAAAACCTCCTTCCATCAGCAAGGGCATTGAAGATGAAACGTGGCTGGGTCTTTCAGCATGACAATGATCCCAAACACACCGCCCGGGCAACGAAGGAGTGGCTTCGTAAGAAGCATTTCAAGGTCCTGGAGTGGCCTAGCCAGTCTCCAGATCTCAACCCCATAGAAAATCTTTGGAGGGAGTTGAAAGTCCGTGTTGCTCAGCGACAGCCCCAAAACATCACTGCTCTAGAGGAGATCTGCATGGAGGAATGGGCCAAAATACCAGCAACAATGTGTGAAAACCTTGTGAAGACTTACAGAAAACGTTTGACCTGTGTCATTGCCAACAAAGGGTATATAACAAAGTATTGAGAAACTTTTGTTATTGACCAAATACTTATTTTCCACCATAATTTGCAAATAAATTCATTAAAAATCCTACAATGTGATTTTCTGGATTTTCTTTTCTCATTTTGTCTGTCATAGTTGACGTGTACCTATGATGAAAATTACAGGCCTCTCTCATCTTTTTAAGTGGGAGAACTTGCACAATTGGTGGCTGACTAAATACTTTTTTTCCCCACTGTAGCTGTGTAATGTTGAGTGTTCTACTAGACATAGCTGTGTGATGTAGAGTGTTCTACTAGACATAGCTGTGTGATGTAGAGTGTTCTACTATACATAGCTGTGTGATGTTGAGTGTTCTACTAGACATAGCTGTGTGATGTAGAGTGTTCTACTATACATAGCTGTGTGATGTAGAGTGTTCTACTAGACATAGCTGTGTGATGTAGAGTGTTCTACTATACATAGCTGTGTGATGTTGAGTGTTCTACTAGACATAGCTGTGTGATGTAGAGTGTTCTACTAGACATAGCTGTGTGATGTAGAGTGTTCTACTATACATAGCTGTGTGATGTTGAGTGTTCTACTAGACATAGCTGTGTGATGTAGAGTGTTCTACTATACATAGCTGTGTGATGTAGTGTTCTACTAGACATAGCTGTGTGATGTAGAGTGTTCTACTAGACATAGCTGTGTGATGTAGTGTTCTACTAGACATAGCTGTGTGATGTAGAGTGTTCTACTAGACATAGCTGTGTAATGTTGAGTGTTCTACTAGACATAGCTGTGTGATGTAGAGTGTTCTACTAGACATAGCTGTGTGATGTAGTGTTCTACTAGACATAGCTGTGTGATGTAGAGTGTTCTACTAGACATAGCTGTGTGATGTAGAGTGTTCTACTAGACATAGCTGTGTGATGTAGAGTGTTGTACTAGACATAGCTGTGTGATGTAGAGTGTTGTACTAGACATAGCTGTGTGATGTAAAGTGTTCTACTAGACATAGCTGTGTGATGTAGTGTTCTACTAGACATAGCTGTGTGATGTAGTGTTCTACTAGACCTAGCTTTGTGATGTAGTGTTCTACTAGACATAGCTGTGTGATGTAAAGTGTTCTGCTAGAACATAGCTTATGTGATGTACAGTGTTCTACTAGAACAATGCTATGTGATGTAAGTGTTCTACTAGACATGCGCTATGTGATGTACAGTGGTCTACTAGACATAGCTGTGTGATTGGACATGTTGTCTAACATACGTCATTTGATGTACAGTGTTCTACTAGACATAGCTGTGTGATGTACAGTGTTCTAATAGACATAGCTGTGATGTAATGTGCCCTATGCTGCTTATATACTCCCACACATAGTTCCTGAGTGGTAGACGCAGAAGTGAGATTGGAGTCCTGGGGACGCATTCCCACTCGCTATGACTGTATGAAACACACTGAAACACACTGAGGGACTGCGCTGTTTATTCAGGTTACCCTCCTAAAAGGACGTCTGTTTGACAGGAAGTAAATATACCTC